TAGGTCTGGCTGGAGAAACTCTGGGTAAAGTCTGGAATGAAAACGTGGCTGTTTGCGTTCACATATAGCCTAAAGTCCCTCTGGGCAGCCAAATATCTGGAGTTTTTCAGGAGATTTACGTATGTGTGAAAAGGTTTAATGACACTTGGAAGCTCATAGCTTGGGCGGGCAGAACTGTCAAGAAGGAATGTGTCAGGTTAGAAGAAGCCATGTATGGCCTTTCATGAGGGAACAAAAGGTACAAAGTAGCAGACAAAGGCTTCTTTAAAGGAGCAATGTGTAGGATGTCTAGTTAATTAAATGATAAAGTGACCTTATATGATCAGACATTAAAGAATGTTATTCATTCATGCAATGTTGAAGTGCCGGCTTCTCTGTCAACAACGCAGCAGCCAGTATGTCCTCCTTCTAAGTTCAGATTCTGGTCCTGAATGGTCGGGATTTGTTTGGACCAGAGAAGGTAGGCGGTTTTAAAGCACCACTTCACGGTCATTTTGGAAACCACTCAGTTTGACAGGCAAACGCAACGTTTGCAGCAATGGAAGCAAGCAAGAGAACTGGTTCAGATAGAAGTGATTGTACCTGACCTAAAAAGCCTCTGCATGTTTCTAATAAGCTCCACGAGCAGAAACGTGCTTAAACTAGGATCAATATTGGAGATGCTTTTGAAAAATGGAGAGATGTTAGAACGCAGAAAGGTTTACAGACTGATGCATAGCTGGCTAAACACTGAAGCTTCAGTTTTTTTTTTTCATGTCAACCTGTGTGCACATCGACAAGGGAGGAGGGGGTGGGGGGAGACAGCTCTCTCCAATGTTTGGAATTTAGACTGCAGTACCTATTTTAAGCACTGGGTGTCCGAGTTACATACTGCTCCTTTAAGTGACTCTCTGGGAGCCTTTTAGGGTATTGGTACTTTAACTTTGAAAAGTTAATCAGAGCCTGAAAGACTTTTTAAGAGATATGGTCGATCATGCAGATTGCTTTTATATCCAAACTCAGTTATCCTATCACACTGGTGCTGTGGTGGATAAAGCCTTCATCTATCTCCTAATAAAATACCCTCTGTCATTGGGGAAAAGCTGAGAGCATTGTTAGAATCTTGGTTTCTGATTTAATACCACTCAGTTTATATTCTTGAAGTGCACAGGGTTACACTGCCACCTCACATCAATCATGAACTACTTCACCAACCAGCATAAGAATATGAAGATGCTTGACTGTGATTCTGATGTGTTTGTCCACAACATTGGGGCTGCTCAGGAAACCAGCCTGGCCCCACCAATGTAAGTAAAACCAAAGAGTTGGTGTGTAAACACCCTCTTTAGCTTCCCTTTGTTAATTTCTTTATTTTTGTATTTTTTTCTTGTGGATGTTGTGAACTATATTGTTTCTTTAATGCATTGCATATCACTTTGGTCAGCTGCTGCTGATTTAATATGTGCTTTATCAATAAATGTGACTTGACTCGACTACCTGGGTGTTGACTTGAACAAATGACAGGCCAGAGCCGACTGTATCTACAAAGAAGGGCCAGGTTTTCTTGGGAGTGCAGTCGGCACTCCTTGAACATTTTTATGACTCTGCTGTGGCATAAGGCATCTTCTATGCACTGATGTGCTGGATCAGCAGCATCTCAACTGTGTGCCGGAGTGACTCAGTAGACTGGCGATGAGGGCCAACTTTGTCCTGGGATGTGTCCTTCGCTCAGAATGTGTAGGAGAAACAAGAAAGATATCTATAAGCAATCATCGCTGATGGAGAACAAATCTTATTCCATGAAAGACAGTGTGATGGCACTGGGCGGCTCCTCAAAGATGAGCTTCTTGATCCACATTTCAAGAAGAGGAAGTGCCAAAGTTCTGCTGTCAGACTTTAAGATATGAACTCACTTATTTCATCTGTTTTACTGAGCCTAATATGAAAGCAACACAGTGATGTTGGTACATAAAAGAATGTCATTACAGTAAGCAAAGATTCTTACTTCAAATCCATGTTGAAGGGCTATGCTTTTTTACTAAATGCATCTGAATGTCTTTATCTTTGTATACATATTGCTTTCAGTAACCCAAAGGTGCAGTGACATAAAGCTGGGTTTTATTTGTGTGTATGCGTGTGTGTGTGCCTAACTGGGAGCAGCAGGGTTGCTGTCTGCCTGAGAGGAATTCATCATCTGTGTGTGTGTGTGTGTGTGTGTGTGTGCGCGTGTGTGCGCGTGTGTGTGCGTGTGTGTGTGTGTGCGTGCGTGCGTGCGCGTGCGTGTGTGTGAGAAACACACTTTTGTTCCTCTGTGAGGGTGAAACAAAAAGCCAGTTCACAGAGCTCTGGGCCTTTCAGAAATCCTCCTTTTGACTCTTTTATACAAACCTCCTGTGGAAAAGTGCTCTTCACCTTCCCTTTACTCTGACAGATGAAACTATCGCAAACATATTTTTGACATGGCATTGAACAAATCAGACGAGAATGCATTCAAAATTGATGAGATTATATTTTCTTTTTCAAATATGTATGGGTGCTGGGACAAAACCATGCAATGAACCAGTTAACTGGAAGAGCAGGAAGAGCAGAAAAGTGCAAGCTGATGCAGTGTGGGTGCTGCTCATGCAGATTGTTGTCAGTGAAAAACGGCACAAGGTCCTGGTCCTGCTCTCAAGGCTGACTCATCATTGTTGTTGAGGAAGCAAGTTGGTTGTCTGCATATTTGATAATATTGAAACTATGCATAAGCACACTGGTGTATTTGAAAAGTAAGGAGAAGAAGGAACACGCAGCCCTGTGGTCTGACAGGGGTTAAGGTCAAGGGTCGAAGAGAAGTGGTTCTTCAGTCCAATCATACTGACTTTGGTGGTCAGAGGAAGGGATGATAATGTTTTGTGGTTTGGAGAGAGTGCGTTATTGTAGATAGAGTTAGACAGAAAGCGAATGGGATGGGTTCAAGCGGCAACCTCCAATGCAGAGGTGCAAAATCCTGCAGGTCGAGTGTCTGCTTGAGGCTGACCCCAGGAACACCAGAAGTCACATACACACAAGAGCTAAAAAAAAAGCAGTTTTTACAGCATAAATCAACATGTTTACAGCCTGGTCCAAAAAACGAAATATATTTGATTAGTCATTGTCATCACAGGCACACACTGTGGGGGGTTAATTTTTTAAAACGGCTCTGTTTTGATTTTATGAACGGTATGTGTTATCCATAGTTAGGCATGTAGCTGACATTATTGACTAACCTCCTCTAATGTAACGGTTCATCAAGAGGCTTAAAGCCCTCCTCAGCTCCAGCTCTCAGCCAGTCGTTAGGTTGACTGAAAGTTAGGCTGAGAAAGGATTTCCAACATGGCGGCTGCTGCCGATGAGCCTCCAGAGCCCCCTGCAGGAACAGATGGCTGACGTCACTCAGGCTTCATCCATTAATATTTACAGACTGGGTTCTAATAGACTGTAAATATTCTAACATGGTTGGACACCATACCGACAAGATGGACTAGGACCACTTTACTGAACACTCTGTAACGCTGGGAGCAACAGGCTATGAGTTAGATTTTACTTCACTGACCTTTAATCAAGATGGAAGTGTGCTGATACTTTCATCTCTTCATAAAGGTTTAATGATACTGACAGGAAAGATTTCCATGTTCTTGCAGTTTAATGATGGTTTAAGTCTCACAGCATTTGCCTGTTTTTAGTACTGGCTTGATGAAATGATTATAAAGCACATGGAGAGGCTTAAGGTCCTGGACCTTCTTTCTGCAGGCTGGCCCCATTGTTGATGAGGCAAGCCAGCATCGCATTTGATATTTTTATTGAACTATGCATACAGCGTACAGATGTATTTTGGGTCATGGACAGGTTGAAATGACTTACTTACTCTAAGGGTGACAATGACCTGCATAAATCCAACAGGATGTATAGAAGAAAAAATACATTCAACACAGGCATTATGATACGCTTGAGATACCACAAGTCCTTATATTAAAAAGTAGCTTCACAAATAAATATGAAATAAATAATCATTCAGTGCAGTAGCCATGACAAACAGAATCTTTGAATAACCAAATTTGGACATAAATTACATCAGTCTGCAGAGGTATGTTGAATAGCAGTGAGTGGATCTCTGCAAAAGAATCCCAGGTTTCGTTTCTAAAGCCGCTTTAGACGACACATATGCCTGCTTAGTTTCTTAAAGATAAGATCCTTTTGCCGTTTTGAGTTTTAAATAAGGTTTTTTTTTCAGTCTTGCATAGTTATAAAATATGACCAAGAAAGTTGAAGCTCTTTTTTTTAATGATCAAAAATGCATAAACAAACAACATGGCTCTGACATTTCTGAAAACATTTATAGAAACATGAGGGCACAGGTGCAAATGCAAGACAATAATAATACAAGAAACAAAATGCAATGGTTGCATCACCATTTTTCATAACTTTACGGGCCTTTATGCACATAAGAAACTCATTAAAAAGTAAACGAAATTTGGCCAGCCTATATTTCAAGTACTTGGATATGGAAATTTCCAATAATACGTTTTTTCATGATATTTTTCCTTTAACAAGAATTGTTCTAGCTGGAAACTTGTGGGGTAAAGCCATAGACTCTAAAGCAGTCATAAATATCTCGCCAGAAAGCTTCATAGGATTAATATTTACAGTCCATGTATTTACATCGAAAGGACACAGGAGCTAGTGGAAGGTAGTCTCGACGTCATCACAAAAACACAAAAATGAAATACATCACAACCAAAACGCTGTTGCAACGAGTTCACTGGATGGATACACGCCATTCAAAATCCTAAAGTGAATTCCCTTTGGTTTAGGAGGACATGGGGAATGTCAAGAAGGTTGAAACTCTAGAACGCAAACGGAGCAGACTCGGTGCGCACGCATCGTGATTTGAATGCACGGACCAATCAGCGGGCTCGCCGGACGCAAGCCGCTAGCCTTGCGTCACTCTTGTCCAATCAGAACGCGGCACCAGTTGTTTGCCTTGCTTTTTGAATTGATCTCTAACAGCAGGCTGACACACTGCGTTACGTTTAGCTGTCAACAAACTTAAGTAGACACTTTTCGGAAGTTTGGACTATTTTTGTTTTACGCTGAAAAGGCAACATGCATTGATACCAGATTGGAGACATAACGGAGAGATGTCGCAGCTTTTCTGAAGAGGGTTTTTGGACCGAAAGGGGACTCTTCATTGTATTGTGACTTTCTGGCTCAGAAGCTAATTTGGCTAAATTAGCTTGAGAGCTAATTGAACTGGTCAGCAGCCGGTTTAGCTCCTAATTCTCTTACTAAAGGTACCAGCAATCAAAAAACTCGGTAAGTATGCTTTCATTTATGTTTTTATGCTGTTGATAAACGTACCATACTTGGCAGGTACTAAATGTTAGCTCACCTCTCTGGTGACGCTAAGCTAGGTGACGAGTAGAATGAGCTAACCTCACTGGGCCGACAGGTGTTACGCTGAGAATTGCATCCCTGCCGAGAACTACATTCACCTCGCAGGGACATGCAAACAAATGACAAACTCACTTTCTACACTACTTTTCATTCACCCTTAAAATACTATGCTGCCATTTTTTGCATCCACTCTTAACTCTACAGGCACTTTTCAAAACACTTTGTTCGCAGCTCATATTCAGGCAGGTTAATGGAAATGCGTCTACAGAATAATGACACTTACCTTTTATTAAATTCCAACGTCACATACTTTGCGATCACACATCTGCCCAGAGAAACACGATTTATGTAGTTTATAGTTTTCTAACTTCAGCGAGGTGCATGTACTTCTTGGCAGGGATGCATTTCTCGGCATAACACATGCGTTTACACAAATTTGACTTTTCCCGTCTGCCTGATAATTCAATGTGTTTTACCTTTTGTACTATAGTAGAAAACATAAACTTTATTTGGAATATATTTTTGACAACTAAAGATAAACACCCAAACTAACATTTTTCATGTGTGACGTTTTTGCCTCGTTTCTTCTGCCCTTTGTTTAAGTCTTACTATTTTCTAGTCTGCCTTTGTTTTTGCAGCACATACAAAACGTATGTGTATTGACTGACTTTAATTAAGCACATTAGAGGCTGCTGTATAACTTCTTAAATGAAAACAACCAAGCAAAAATCAAATTTCTACATTTATCAGAAGCTTTTATCCAAAGCGACAAACGGAGAGTAAGTACAACACAAGCAAGGATCTGGAGAGGAGATCTTTGTATAAACTTTGTCCTTTCTCCTTTCTTACAAAAGTTATCACTATTCTGTGGCCTCCTCTCCAGTTGAGTTGTCAAACTTGGGCAGTATTTGTGTTTGACAGTTGTCACACTTCTCTTGTTGCTTCACTGTCTCTCCTCTTGGTCTTCTTGTTATGTTCTCCCTCTGTGTCTCACTCCATTCCTTTCCTGTAACTTCTGATAGTTTGGACAGTTTGGTGTCGCCTTCGGTTCCTGCCATGGCTGACAGCAGCATACTGACTTTAGGGACAGCTCGGAGTCTGTTGGACTCTTCAGTCTATGATTCGAGGATCGCCGAAACCACCAAGGACCATGTATTTCTGGGCATGGCATGTGAAGATGGGGAAGGTCAGTCTGCAGAGTCACTTCAATTTCCTTTACCCAAACCCTTTTTAAATATCTAAAAATACACCAGGCAAGGGCAAATACAACAGGAATGACTTTCATATTAAGGTTACACCGGTGGTGTGACTAATATACGGGTTTAAAATGCTGACAAAAACCCACCGTCATTATCTAGAGTGCAGCCAACACCATCATACACTGCACGCCACCTGAAATGTTTGAAACTTCACCTCCATTCTTTGTCGCTTGCAAGCTGCGGGGATACACAGCGAGGCTGACAAGGCTGGTGACGCAACTCTTTAACATCTGTTCTCCCTCGTTACCTAAAAATCCTGCATTTAAAGCAGACTGTGGCGTATTGTTCCGTAAACAAACCTTGTAAAGTGCTGGACTGATTAAAATAAATTAAAGCCAACGAGTGACCAGCGGAGGTGGGCAGCATGACTCGCAGGCTGTCGGTACTTTAGAACTTTCACTGCAGGCTGAGAGCTGGACTACTGTACTGAAGCTAGTAGGAGTGCAAACTACGAAAAGTGAAAACAGATGTTACTAAAATAGCTACTGTAGACACCACTGTTAAATTAAAAAAAAAGAGTATCTTAACAGTTTCCAAGTTGTAGACTAATTGAAAAGCAGTTGTTTTTTAATTTCACTTGTTTCTTCTGGAAAAGTGTACTGAAAGGCCAGAGGTAAAATAAGGAACATCGTTTTTGGTGTTTTTTAGAGAAAATGTGTGAAAACGCCTACTGTACCAGTAGTGTACTGATTTGTCCAATATTCAGTATGCAGTGTGCAAACAATGCGAGATCTGCAGTATATCAAAAATACCTGTTTGGTGTACTGATTGGGGGAAAATCTGCATTATTCATTGGAGAAGTCTCCCTCCCGTATTGTTTCCCACGATGCAAAGTGCCAGGTCAGAGATCAAAATGATGGACAGTGTGACAGGGAAATAATCACACTTAGACCAAACCACACAAAGATACCAATTATCTCTTTTGATTCTCAAAATTATGAAAATCTAAATGAATCACTTGTCAGCTGTTTTCAGACTGTAAATGGATGCTACACTGGAGCGGCGTTTGGGGTCAGATGGGCTGTTTACTTACGCATTCCCAGAATCCAGCTTTAGCCGGGCTTAATGCAAAATAACCACCAACTGGCAGTCATACTACACACTACTGTTGAATGTAGTATGCAGTACTTTTTTTTTTTTACATTTGTTTCTTGCACTGCTTTCTTCAGCAGTGATACAGGTGTGCTGTCAGTCAAAGGGAAGTCAAACTTAAATCACCAACGAGAGATGACCAACTTTTTATCTCCTCTGTGACTATGTATGTGTCACACTCACATCCCCCCTGGTTAACACTGTCTCTCTATTCCTCTTCATCCTTCAGACATGCATCCAAAAGTGGAGACGAGGGTCGTTCTGGTGGGAGAAGCCGGTAGAAATGGAGCTCTGGTCAAAGCCCTGCAGGTACATATTTTCTTTATTTATCGTGAAGGTTCACTACGGCCCACTTGCTACTCTCAAAGTGGCCGTTCTTGGTGATCTTAAGTGGAACACATCGCAGTGATTCACAGCCTGTTATCGTCCCGTCCCAATCCTGTGATAAATAGTGAAATCCATTCCTGTCCATCGGGAATCCCGCAAAAATGTCAGCCTCTACTCTACGCTGATGTCACTGCGGCTCCCCGTTTAAAATGAAGAACTTGTCTTTGTGTGTCCTGACTATCGGCATTGAAATCATGGTTTTAAAGCTGGATAGCTTTATGATGGTTACTCTACGTCAGCAGCAGCAGCCACTTGTTTAGCCTACTTACGGTGGTGACAGTGGTTGCATAATGAACCAAACATCCTGTACGAGCTGATGTGATATTTATCTTTACCAAAACAAAGTCCTCGTTCATCAGACTGCTGAAACATACATTATTATCCCCACACACTCAGTCGGGATATGATGCTGTGTGTGTTTCAGTGCTTGTTTGTTTCTGCTCCAGTAAGCTGCGTAGTTTTGTGTCTTTGAGAATCAGCATGTGAAGGTGGTTTGGAGGCGTGGCGGCAGACTAAGTGCTGCCAGAATGACTTCCTTCCTGGGTCTCCTGAGCCCTGTCACTTCTGAAGGCTTCCCGCTTAAATCATCTATTTCTCCCTGCCAATCTGCAGTGCAGCCGCATCCAAAGACATATGCCGACAGCTCCATCAGAGCGCTCCCGATTGCCTGCCTGACCGCCTGCCGCCACCGCTCTTGCAACTCACAGAAAAAGAGCCCCCCGCCCTCTCGCTATTTCTTTGCGTCCTTTCCCCTTTCTGTCCTCTTCTTTCCCTCCTCTCCTCCGCCCTCCCATGGGCTTTGAACTTTTATATTAATTTTTAACAGAGTTTTTTTCCTCCTCCCCAGCACACCCCCTCTAAAGCTTGATATCTGTTTGAAGTCTCTGTCTTTAGACTTTGCAAGGACAAGGACTCCGCCCCATCTCTTCCTGCATCCCCTTAACTTAGACAGCCTCTCATTTGTCCTCAAATGGGGGTTAATTTGAATGATTTTTTTTGTCTGGCTTGCTTTATTTTTTTCCTAATTTTTCTGTCCTCCCTACCTTTATTTCCACCCTCTGCTCTCCTCCTCTCAAATGCCAGTGTTTGACATCTACTTCCTGCTGGTTGGTTTTTTCTTTACAGGCCATCAAAGTAATGGAGGTACCCGTGGTAAAGATAAGGGAAGGCGAGGCGGGTGCTGAGGAGAAAATGATGATAAAATCTATAGTCAATATGGTACAGTACAGAGTGTGCGTCTTTGTGTGAATGTCTGACACTTTGATTGGAACTTGGGACGTGCTGCATGAGCCTTAATTCAAACTGGCAAGTCACTCAATCATTGTGCATGGTCAAGTCACTGATGGTGGAATGATGTGTGGGTGGAAATTTAAATAACAGGGAACGGTATCTCCATTGCTCTCTAACAGAGATTTACACTCAAATATCAACGCAAGTTATTCAACTGAAGAGAAGCCATTTAAAGGTTGTCTTCTCTGCATTGCCTTTAAAAAAGGGCACATTCATTTAGCTGTTTGTACTGTTAATAATGAAGCAGTTCACTGTGAATGCTTTTCACAAATGTTTGAGTATTATCAATTGAAATGTAACTTAAAAGCTTTGATTTTTGAGTGTCATCAAAATGTAATAGCTGCAAAATTACGTTCATTTGCTTTCTTTTAAGGTCGGATGAGGATATTGATCAAAATCATATTTTTGCTTTAAATGACTTAAGTCGGGTTGCTTAAATTAGCCAAAGTGGAACCAGCAGCATCTTGTGAAGTTGGTTTAACCCCTCAGTAGGTAAAATCCGCCACCAGGGGGCTCTCAAAGAAAACAATAACAAAAGATGAAGTTGAGGCTGGCAGTGAGTCATGATGGGAGTTATTCTCCCTGCATACTTCACCCCTGATGATAACAAACTCTGAGTTGACCGTAGTCATAAAGACGAACGGGCGAAACCGACCTGAGGAAGAGAATATGTTTACAGACGAGCTAATGTATCAACGATGGCAACGATATACACGCAGTATCTGTGATGACGGCTTTGTCATGGCGGCCACTATAAACTTAGACTTTTTCTGGTCTTGATAACTGTTGGAAATATTTGAGGTAATTTAAGTACTCAACAACAAATATAAATAACAGAGGTTTAGTCCATTTTTAATTGATTGAGATATTTTAGTGTAAAAATTCATATTGTACAGTATGTTTACTCAACAATCGTACAATGGACCCCGGTCTTAAGTTGAATCAAAACTTTAAAAACGCCAACCCAACGCAACTTTTTAAGGAAATCTTTAACTTTCGACTTTCATTTAACATATTTTTTTCTTGCTACTCATCTTATTTAAAGAAAAAAAGCAAATGAGTGTATTTAAAAATGTGAAACCTTTCCTTTAACCCACCAGTGTCTCCCTCAGTCGTTCTTAACAATGTAATATCAAGTCTTATTATAACTGTGTCCATGTAGTATGTGCCCTTTAACCTCCTGTGCTTCTGTCCTGTGTTGACTGCTGGGATGATTTTCTCAGGTGATTTGTTTTACAGGCAGATCGTCCTTAGAGGCCATCTCTCACTACATTCATTTGTTTTTTACAACAGAGACATTTTAAGAGGTTTTCTGATGGCAAGACAAGGGAGAAAATATATATATATATATATATATATATAAATAATAATCATGTTAAAAAGAAAAATTCATGCTCACTACTCTTCCTCTCCATCAACAATTTATTAGAAAAAATCACAACATTTCACGTTTTTTCTTTTCAGTGTGATAGTTTGACATCCTACACACCTTCATGAGATAATTGGATCCTTGAGCACCTCCTTTAAAACAGAACATAATGGAGAAAATCAATGATTTGAAACATCAACATTTCCAAATGAATCGTTGTAAACGATATAAAAATGAATTTGTCCAACGAACACTTTTTTACACTTTATCCACTACTGGATGTTATTTTCTGTTGGATAGAGAAAAAGACGGACATGTAAATCATTTTTACTTCATTGCAATTTGCACGGCCAAGTTTGTTCACGTGGGTGCTTAACTCAAAATTAGCAGCAAGCTGGTGAACAAAGTGTTCAATTTTTTGTGTAGCAGATTATTTGTGTGCAACAGATCACAAATCTCACGGTTTGGAACCAATCACGGCATTGTGTCACAGGATTTATTACTTTTCATCCATCATCATGATTCATAGTGTGTTCAATTTGATCACGAAAGTCAGAAATTCTGAGTAACCTGTTCGATAAAATCACCAGGAATGCCCCCCCGGAGTTAGAATTCCCACTCGGAAACTCTGAGCTGAGTTAAAATCCAACATAGCTGCTGCGTGCATCAACAGCAACGTTTAAGATCTAACTATTTTGTATAAAAGCAGCTTTGTCCTCTTTTTGTGTAAATAAATCAACAACACGGATAGCATCGTGCAAGTTCTATCTGTGGACGTGTTGGCATGTTACTAAACTATCACAAAGTGTATCGTTATCACCTGGTATTAGCAAACAAAACAAAGGTGCTCCTGGAGGCGTCCATTTTGCTCTTCCGACTTGTTGACAAATCGCGACTGGAACGCGGGTAACTCGAGTGTGACGTCATTCCAAGCTCCGAAATCCGAGTTGCAGGTTAAATGGGACTCACCATACCACGAGCCAACATTCACATGATGTGTTGTACTTACTCTCTGATGTACGTCGCTTATGATAAAAGCGTCTGCTAAGTGAATTGTAGAATTGTAAATCATCATCCTCAACCTTTATTTAAGCCTCGAAAAGCATTCCCTCATTTACAATCATGTCGAGATAGAAAACAAACCCAGACTGAGGTGAAATGATTCAAGATACCTAACTCAGTTAGTTTGAGAGAAATTAGACAGTCGATCTTTAGAGTATTTTGTAAAACATTTCACATTTGAATGAGTAAAATCTGCTTATAGCGTCTTTGCTCCAGAGTGACCCTGTGGGACTGGAAACAGGTGATGGAGACTTAAAAAGCAGCCATAAAACATGGAAACGTGTTTGCCATTTAGGTTGTTGTTTGGCCATCAGGATATTAACTTACATTCATTGTTTTTTCTGTCTTTCACAAGATTAATGAATAAACTGACTTCTAATAATTGAATAACCAACTCCCAACAGCCTCATTAACAAGGCTAACAACTTCTACTTTGTGTGATTCTTAACGTTTTGTCTACTTTTCCGATCACTTAATTTTTTCCACTCTCTTTTCAGGACATCAACACGCCGTGCCTGATTACAGACAGCGTCCAGGAGTTTGGAGACGGAGAGAACACGGAGTTCGAGACAGTCTTCGTCCTAACAGACTTTGATTGTCCCGAGTACAGCTACCTCTACAAACGGGACAACCGCATTGTGGGGCCTCCTGTTGTCCTGCACTGTGCTGCAAAGGAGGAAGTGAGTCCTTCATCTAGAGCATTTTTAGCTTAGTGCCAAAAACTAATGATTCACACGTGACGATGTCTTAAAGGGGACATATTATGAAAAATCCACTTTTACAGTGTTTCTGAACATATATTTGGGTAACCTGAGTCTACCGACCAACAAAATGTGAAATAAACCCATCCAGTCCTTTGTTTGTGGCCTGCATAAGTCTTACAACACACAGAGAAATGCTCCGTTTATAATTTGCTCTACTTGTGATGTCACAGTGGGATTCTGGTTAAAAAGAAAAAAAAAAAAAACCTCCCCTCCCCTGATATTTCCACCCATGGACTCCACCTCCTGCCTAGAACAAAACTTTTGCGCAGCTCCGCCATTTTTATTCTCGCCAGCAAAGGAGTGATGCCTACAGGGGCTCATTGCATTTAAAGAGACGCACACACCAAAACAGAGTGTTCAGAGAGAGCTGGTTTATACAGGCTCACAAACCTCCTCTGGTGCTTGATTCATGTTAAGTTTTGACCAAAGCTCAGCACAGATGTTTCATTAGACCACAGGGGACTGTTTGAAAAGGTGGAGAAGGGAGATAATATGTCCTCTTTAAAAAAGAGACTGAATTCATGTGAATATCTCGATTACAACTTTCCAGCTCGGTCTGAGAGCATGACTTTTTTTAAATCCTTTTTTAACCTGTAATTCAAATGAAACATTTACAGCTTCACTCTGAATTTCAAGCACACAGACATACATGGTCTGTTAAAGGGGAGGGCAAAACAGAGGCAGTCCTGAGATGAACCTTGATTTCAGGAGGCAGGATACAGAAAAATTCATTACTGCACTGAACAGAATGATGAACGGGAGCCGCCCCCACCTGCTGAGCTGTCTGCCTGACGGAGGCGGCTCATAGGATGCTAATGTGGAACATGAGCGTTTTGACCTGCCTGTGGCTGCTATCAACAAGACGGAGCACTCCACACACTTGTCAGCTAAAGACAGCGCTTACACATTCATGTAGTCTGTAGAGCTTCATACAGATTCATATCTTTATGTCAGTGGGCCGGGTACGAGGCCGTCTTGCAGTATGTCACCTATGTTCGTAATTTATCTGAGAGGCACTATGTATGTTCAGTACTCAGGTGTCACCATCCTGGTTATAAAACATAAAGGTTTCCTGATACATGCTTTCAAGGAAGACTGTGCGACCTTTTGATTCAGTAGATGGCGCTCTTGAGCACCAGCATTAAACCAAAACAAACTGCTGTTTTTGCCACACCTACGCTATTCTGAAGCCTCCGCTCTCATCCAGCGGCACACCTCCAACACCTCTCCACTCGCGTTAGCACAAAGGAGTTAGAATTTAGAATGCACCACAATTAAGCACAAGCGGCAGACCAGTTGTCCTTTGCTCACCTGTGACCTGCATTATTGTGTTAGCAGGCTAACGTTAGCACACTTTGGTTAGTTTGTAGCTTCATATTGAACATTAATTGACACGGAGGGACCGTGATCTAAAACACGAACATGACATCCAAATAAGCATTGAGTATGTTAATCTTCTTTTCTCTAGTCCTTGACTAAAACAGTTTTATACGCAAGGCCGTTCCGTCCATGTAAACACGACTCCAACAACAACACAGCCAGCGGGACTCGAGCTTCTCACTCATTGTAGACAGTCATGACTCAGAGAGACATTTAGGACAAATAGGATGCCCTAGTGTTTGTGGTCTTTAAGTGGTTTTAAAATCACATTAAAAGGCAGAAATGAAAAGTAATAGATGTTTTATATGTACTTACCGGATATTTAAATGTCTCTGATGATGTGTGAATTCTTCCTTTCCCACAGCCTTTACAGTTTTCCTGTCGTCCTCTCTACTCCACCACAATGCTCAACCTGTCGCTGTGCTTCACTGGCTTCAGAAACAAAGAGGAAATGGTGAGTTTATCAAAGTCACATTTAGCAACATGAACTACTTGATAGAAACACAATTCATTATTTAGATACCTTAACCATTGAGGGGATTCTTCTGGCTTTTCTGACCTGAGATGTGAACCCATGGTGGGACTTAAATGATCAATAACAGTGTTTCCCACACTTAAACTATATTTGTCATTTATGTCGTTAAATTTATGACCGCCTAAGTAGCCTGTATTTGCCAACCATTTTGGAACCTGAAAAACAAAAATCCTTTCATATCGCCATCTTCCATACACTAAAAGACGATCTGCTCTCACTATTCACCGCTGGAGTTTGTGTTGTGATGCTCTGCAGCTGATCAGAGAGAGAGCGAGAAACATCATCTGATTTTTTTTCCTCCATAAAGCGAAGATTTTGGTGTGACTTCTCATGAAATTTGAACCTTTGAATGCCGTTAAGGGCTTCAGTAAGCAATTCTTTTTGTAATCGAGTATTCTTTTGATTAATCAAAGAGTACTGTGTTAGTTGTTTCTAACAGACTAACTCTGTTCATGCGGTCCTACACTTTTTATATTCAAATACGTTAGATGTAGTCGTTACTGTAGGTTTGTAGATAGATATTTATTCTCTAACTTATTTTAGTGTGAAATAAACAACATTTTAATCTGCTCATCTAACTTCCCTTCATTTTACTCACGCACACACACATTGTACCTCTCCTCCCACCTAACCTCCCCACTTCATTTCGTAGCTTTGTATTTTTTTGTGTGGTAAATGGACTTGAGCTTGCATGGTGATTGTCTAGTCCTTTGACGACTCGGTGCTGTCACACCTACACATTCACACACTGATAGTACAGGCTGCTATGTAAAGAGACCATCAAAAGTAACTAATCCCATTCATACACATGCCACCCACAAAGCAGCGGGAGCAACTTGGGGTTAAATGTCTTGCCCAAGGGCACCTCGGACATGTAGCTCTACCATCACGTTGACAGACGACAGATTCTATATCTGACAGCAGCGTGTGTCTCTGCTCTGACAATATTCACGATTTTAAAATGTTTCACTCGATATTCCCTCTCTCTGTCTCTCTCTCTCTCACTCACACACATATGCATGCAGTTCTCAATATAGTCAAATATAGTTAAATGGTCCGCTAATATACTTGGGAAGCTTAAACTTCACCTCGCTGGCGTGTCCGAGTATCGTATGCGTGTATAACTGTAACGTGTTAAACAATACCTCTAATACATGGCTTGAAAGTTTTTTTTAGAAATCTTTTATTAAAATGTCTTGTTTATTTCTCAGTGATATGAATGTCCCCCTCTGTGCTAAGAGTGTGCTTCGTGTATCATTTCCATGTAGAAAAACCTGGTGAACCTGGTGCATCACATGGGTGGAACCATCCGGAAAGACTTCAGCACCAAGGTTACTCATCTCATCGCCTACTCCACCCACGGAGAAAAATACAGGGTCAGTACATGCAAAGCTTTTTATTGACCCAGACCTTTGAACCAAACTTTCTGTGTGTCTGATGCTAAGACATTAACTAAACTTAACCCTACGTTTAATGGAGCAATCTGTAAGATATCTACTGACTGAAATCATAAAGTGACCTTACTATATGATCAGACATTAAGGGAACATGCTATGTTGAAGTGCTGGCTTCTCTAACAACAATGCAGCAGCCAGTATGTCCTCACTATAAGTTTAGATTTTGGTCCTGAATGCTCTGGATTTGTTTGGACCAGAGAAGGGGCAGTTTTAAGGCACCCCAACACGGCTGTTTTGGACGCCCCTCAATTTGCCAGATATAACACCAACATGTGTTAGAGACAACAAAATAACAAATAGAGAAAGAGGAGACAAAATACCCAACACAGACATGGTTAAAAATCAAGATAATTTCATTGATCAAATCAATGCCTGCTTTAGTAAAATAATAATTACAATTCTGAAACATAATTCAAGGGTCATTGATTCATTCATAACTTGCTAATAAAATAACAAATCAAAGACAAAGCTGGTTTCCATGTTTGGGAATTTGGAACTTGAAAGCAACTGATTGTTGTTATTATTACTTTTATTGATTTTATTTGTATTTGTTGCTGGTCCACCTCTCTTCATCTGATTGTCCATAGTTCCTACCAGCGCAGCTTGAATCCCATTGGATAGGTGTGATGTCAGAAAATGTAGTAGACTGTTTATTGAAGTCAGATTAAAAAATGATCCAACTGGGACTTAAATCACAAGAAGGATCGATGGAGATGGATTGATGATGAGTCTGACACTCATCTTTCTCTCAGCTTTTCTCAGCCTGAATTAACAAATGCTTCATAATGTTCCTCTTTCAACCATCCCTGGCTATGATGTTATATTTAATCTTCTTTATCTATTCTGTCACTCAGTTATTGCTCTTACCCCCCCCCATCCCCTTTTTCTTCCTCAAAGGCTTTTAGAGGGTGTACTTTGTTCAAGCAGAACAACAAAACATGCAGCACAAGCTTGTTGGCTTCCTGACAGGCAGTTTTCCAGTTGAAAGTGTGATTCTTAAAAAAAAAAAAAAAAAAAAATGTTTCAAACGTCGAGCGTCTTGATTCTTGTTTCTGCAATGCGCCTGAAGTGGAAACAGTTTGTACCTGTCACACTCATGTCGTGATTCTGAGCGACAGGATGATCAGGAGTTCTCAAACACTTCGGGGAGTTTGTTGTACTTAGAGCACTGACAGATGAACTTTTGAAGGTTTTATAGATGTAAAAAAACAAAAACTTTCTGTTTCTGTTTACCACATCTCTTGGTCGCACATTTACTCATTTCTTCTCCCCCCCCCCCCCCCGTCTTCTTCTGCCTTCACTTAGCTGGCGGTGTGCATGGGGACCCCCATCCTCACTCCGTTGTGGATTCTCAAGGCCTGGGAGAAGAGAGATGAAGAGTGAGTTGAAAATCATTCAAGGATGCATTTTTTTTATAGTATTTTTATTTACCTCTCCTCTGCAGTCCTCCCTTTTACAAAAAAAAATTAAGCATAAAGGTGAGAGGAGAACATTTGTCTCACAGATAACAAAGTTCAGGTTATTATTTCGGTGTATAGACCAAGCTGTGTACCTGGAGCTGGAGTCAATTAGCAAGTCCAAAGTTTTCTACATACCGGTATTTGATTACCTAGGAGCTTAACCACCTTGTACAAAAAAACCACAAAACACATGTGGACTGAAACCAATGAAATCTGGGATACCCTGATATTAGCATTAAAGGGCGGCTGTGGCTCAGTTGGTAGAGTCGTCGCCTCTCAACCAGTAGGTCAAGGGTTTGATCCAAGGGTTTGGGCAACATGTCCGATGTGTCCTTGGGCACCGCTGCTTCGGAGGCGGTGTATGAATGGATTAGTGATGTACGCCGCTTTGGATAAAAGCGTCTGCTGCTAAGTGAATTGTAACATTAGCAGTAGGTTCCGGTGGCTTGATTTTAATGGACTCTAGATCAAAATCATTAAAGACATTAATAGGGCTTTCACATCTGCGGAAAATTCCTGAAAAACTGATATTTCCAGTAGGAGCTGCATGTGTGAACGCAAACAGGTTAAATTTTTCCCTCTGTGTGTCAAAGTCCGTAAAGCGCTTATCAAACACCTTTTTTTTAAAATTAAGTTTCTATGTTCTGTCAAATGTATTTATTTTCCGTGAGAGTTTCAAAAAGCAAAATTTGTCGTTAAATAAATCTGATTTGAAATTCAGGTCGTGACTTTTCATGAAGGAGTCGGTGGAGGGTCCTGAGGCTATACTCGCTGATAACCACTGTTTGTTTGAGAGTTACCACACAGCAGGTTTTCTATTTAATGACCAATTAGAGTGCATGAATAATAATCTACAACTAACCTCTGTTGTGAGGAACAAAGTCTGAGTGCAGGGTTTGCTTCTTTTGTTTGATCGAAACAAAGATTGTATAAAACATTTTGTATACAGTACTTGTTATGTGGGAATTATTCAATGATGAATTACTGAGCCAGGCTGTGGATTATTTTAGAATTTATTCAGCTGTGGTCTAACAAACTTTTCATGCCTATATTCTGTTAGCAGGCACAGCCCACAAACTCCCATCTAGCCTCAGGACCCACCAGCAAAACCTCCATTAGAGATCTCACCCAAATTTCTTAAAAGTCCAAACTGATCAGATTTGTTTGATGATAAATTGTGCAGTTTGGATCTCAGTTGGTATAAAACATGTGACGGATGTAAGAAACTTTAAACACAATTTCACAACTCACTGAAAACATCTCCACGACACACTTTTAGGTCCCGACCCACCAGTTGAGGACCACTGCACTCGACGATGTAAGGTCCGATTTGATTCGCTTAACGAACGGGGGGTAGGGGGAGGCGTGGCCCGATTCGAGGCTTGACGTATCTGATAATTTGTCCAAAGAAACCTCAACTATGTGGTGTCATTACGATGATTATACTGCTCCTAATCGAGTCACAGGCTGCCTGATCTTGAATTGTTAATATCAAACATGTTTGATATTTATTATTTCTGGTCGGACTGCCTTGGTCAGGCTGGACGTTGTATACTCTGACTATTCACCCTCAGCTCGCACTGCAAATTGTATACAGCCGCACATAATCCCTCTTCTCAGCCACGATCTCATCCTTATTTTTTTTCTGATTTTCTGTTTTTTCCCTGCAAACAAAACACACAGCAGAAGAACCAGCTGATGATGTCGATCGTCCTTATTTGTTTTCCCTCTGAAGTCACGTTTGATCACACAAGTTTCTGTGAGATCTCCTGTCTGTGAAATTGTTACTACCAACATGAATTGTGTGGTCTCCTGGTCATGCCGAGTCGTCTGGTGTGTGCGTTTGGAGGATTATAATGTTAAAAATGAGTTGAAACTGTTCATATGTCTGTGGTCTTCCGAGTTTTACAAATCAGTGTGTGGCCGGATCACTTGTAAATGTCAAACATATATATTTGAGTCTCATCGAACCTTGCTTCCTCTGAAGCTCTCTACATGTACTTGGCTCTTATCTAAACATAGCTCAGCTGCTATGATAGTCTTAAACATCCTCTTACATCTACACAGACCTAACAGAAGAATTCTCTTAGATGGTAGACACAAAAATTAACAGAATGAATGAATTACACATCAACAGTACATGGACTAAAGCCCAGTGGTAGAAGTGATGGTCTGGTGACCTTGTTTTTTCCTCCCTTTCTATATTCAGGCTCTTCCATGCAGGAGAAGAGGAGTTTCGGACAGAGTTCAAAGTACCTCCATTCCAGGACTGCGTGCTTAGTTTTTTGGGTTTCTCCGATGAAGAGAAGGTCAACATGGAGGAGAGAACTCTCAAACATGGTCAGTGCTCGAGCACATAGGGATCAGCTTACAGTCAATTTAGCTGTGATAGAGCTACAGAAGTTTAAACATGAGTACAAGTGTGTTCCTGAACTAACCAGGATTGTGTAGCTCTCTTAAAAGTGGTGAAGTTTGCAGAAAGTCTCAGGAAGATCAGGAAGCGATTTCCACGATTCTCCTTTCACAGTAAAAGCTGTTTGAGCAAAATGAAACTTTCCAGTCACCACTTGAAGCTGCTCTTCTGCAGCCCTGCAGTCTCTGTATGTATCTGCAGAAAGGATGAGGAGCAAGTCTTTAAATGTTGTAGTCCTGTTCTTGTTTTGTTCCTCACATTGTTCCTTTTCTGTATGTAGGCGGCAGTTATCTCGAGGTCGGAGATGAGAGGTGTACGCACATGGTGGTGGAGGAGAACTCGGTGAAGGAGCTGCCATTCTCTCCGACAAAACAACTCTATGTGGTCAAACAGGAGGTATGCATCCAGTGTTTCAGTGCTTCTGAAGACGAGCAGGTTTGACATTACGGACGATACCGTATACTCTGAGGCTGTGCTGCAGGAAGATACAGACACAGGAGGGCAGGAGAGAAAATCATGAATCCTTTAAGTTGTTTCCTCTTAAACAGAATGCCAAATGATCAACCGGTCAGGATTCCTTTTAGGTTAAACCTCAGTCGATACGGTCTCTGCTCTCCCTCTCTCTGTCTGTGCTGTCAGAGAAGGAGAATCAATAATAGATTTCCCGTCTCAGTGGATGAATAATTTGCACCGAGGTAGAGCGGTGGTTTGGTTGTATTTGTAACCCCACAATCGATAGCTCCTTTTCTGTACTCTGCCGGTTTTTTATTGGTCTTCAAAAGGAAAGTGTGAATCATTATAGTATCATGTTGTTGTTTCTTTGTGTGGTAACACACAGGTCAGTGAAATGCGCTCTTTCTGTCTTCTGTGGTAGTGGTTCTGGGGAAGCATTCAGATGGACGCCCGGGCCGGGGAGTCCATGTATCTCTACGAGAAGGTGAGTGTATTATGGGTAATGTTGTCCATGTGGATTAAGACTACATGTCACCGATGCGATGCAAACAATACAAAGAGGGTTTTTTCTCTCTATTGTAATAATTATATGCAAACCGTATCAAGGCATCTTGATTTAACAGGACCTTAATATCCTTATTTTTCTTATTCAAAGCTCATTTTAATGCTGCCCTCATTTCAGTTGCGGTGTTTTTTATCTTTTACCTCAGAGCCCCGTTTCCCAACCTGAGGTCCAGGCCCCTCTAGGGGAGACACCAAAGATCTCAGATCGGGCGCCAGGCTTGATCTGCTCTGAAGTTCTTAAAATTAGATTTGATATATTGATCAATAAAGGCATCCCTTTCATTCTTATGAAACAATGAGCTCTATTGCCACATTAACAGATCACCACATTCATTATCCCTGTCATAAAACATGAGTAAGCCATTGCTCTCTCGGAGGCTCCCCACAGGATCCTTGCAGCTGCTGTCCTTGGACACTTTTTTCTCAGATCACACACATTTCCCCTGCAGCCTCACAGCAGGGATAACTGGGCTGTCCTAAATACTTTTGTACCCGCATGGTAGCAGGATTACTGGTAGTAAAGGCTACAGTATACTTGAAACGAACTAACCGATGTACAGAGCTTTGGTTAAAGGCCAAAGTGTATTTGAACTCTTCCAATTGGCCCTGCTGATGAGAGCGCTCGGCCGTTTCTTAGAAGGTGATCATTCGGATCCATTTGAGACCCTGACGACTTTTCACTGCTCTCACCTGGCCAATCAGTTCTGGAATTATTTCCTTTTAACAATCTGCACAATATTATCCAGCATGATGAAGAGTCATAGCCAAGAACAGCGTTAACATGCAGGCAAGAAATGAAGTTTAAACACATAAGAAAAAGACAATATGAAGATTTTGATGTGGCTTCATCGCTTCTCATTTTAAAAGGTTTGAAGGATTAATGATTCCCTTCTTTGTCAACCTTCATTTTCATCTCAACTTTTATGTTTTTGTATATTCTTATTTTTGTTATCATGCACAAGGACTCGCAACGCTATGGCTCCCAACTTATGTACCGGTACTTATTTATTTGCTATATGCATTAAATATCTTTTGGAGCCTGAGTGTTGGGAGTCCTTGTGCATCACATTGTTTTTTTAATGACTCAGCACCTGGATGAGTGATGTGTGAGTGCTGGCTCACCTTTTCTGGACTTATCTTTCACACACAGTCTCTCTAACCTTAAACCAACCGAATTCACAAGAAAATGAAAAAAAGGTCCCTGAAAAATGTCCCAAAACTACCTTAACAACAGCACCTGATGAAGAGCTTGGTCGGGCATGAACCATACTTATTTATTTGTTATATGCGTTGAAGAACATGTCTCTTGGAGCCATAGTGTTGCGAGTACTTGTGCATCATATTTGTAAGACTCAGCACCTGAATAAGTGCTGATTTTTTCTATCCTTCTTCTTGACCCCTTGTCTGTCAGAACGACAGCCCGGCCATGAAGAAGGCCGTGTCCCTCCTGTCCATCACCACCCCTAACAGCAACCGTAAACGCAGACGTTTCAGGGACACGCTGGCTCAGCTAACCAAGGAGACGGAGATCTCCCCCTTCCCTCCACCGCGCAAGAGGCCGTCAGCAGAGCACTCCCTCTCCATGGGTTCTCTGCTGGACATCTCCAACACCCCTGACACATGTAAAGCCTTAGCAGGTAAGCAGAAAATGAAGGGGCGCGGGAACGCACCTGTTTGATTGGACTTGGTTTCCGGTTGGCAGTTTTATACGTTTCTGGTATATTTCTATGGTTGATTCCTTCTGCGTCCTGAGAGAACAGTCTCAAGATGAACCACTTTTCGTTCCAGAAGAGAGAGTAGGGAACAGTACAGGCGATGATACCGTGACCAGAAATAGGATAAGGAGAAGGAAAACCAGGGAGAGAAGGATTAGGTCAGACAGGGAAGAGAGGAGGAAAAGATCCAGCCTGAATACAATCGTCCTTCAACAACCAGAGGAGGATCAGCAACAGACAGGAACCTCTACAGGTCAGGTTTTGCTTCAAGAGTCAGTCTTTGTTAATATTTTCTGCAGATATTAATCAACAAGAGGCATTAAAGAAGTTGATTTGGGTAGGATGAAATAAATGATCATGCCGTTGATTTTTTTAAAAAGTGAATCCGTGAAAGATTCAGGAAGCAAACTTTGCTGCATGTTTCTCCTCTTGCAAACTAACGTGCCGTCATGTGCTTGGGTGGGTCCAGAAATCAGCCTTTGAAACATATGTAGACAGTTTTTCTTAAACTCGACTGGCACTCTGAGACTGCAGACTTCTGCAGAGGCCAAAAGTAGAGTCTTATATGTTATGCAAATCTGCAGATGTGACTTCTGTGGATGTATTTTCACCACTATAGGAAATTAATTTGCTTATCAATTTAACTTGATTGTGAGTCTTATTGTCTACCGTCGCTCGTTTTGACAGAGCTTCTCCGTGGTTTTCTCCATGTTTCGCTGCAGTTTTAACCACTTTTTCTTCCTGTTTTTCCAGAGAGTTCAAAGCCCTCCAAGAGTTCAACTCCGGCTCTGTCCAAGCAGTCAGCCAGGTGGCAGGTCTCCAAGGAGCTCTACCAGACTGAGAGCAACTACGTGGACATTTTAAGCACCATCCTCCAGGTATCAGTGTGTGTCTGTGTGTTAGCACAATGTGGACTTTTCTATCACTCTCTCACAGGCTGGCCAGTCAGTTACCCCTGACAACACTTTCAGGTTAAGCTCAATCATTAAAGGTGTGTGTGTGTCACTGTGTGTGTGCGCTTGCATGCGCGCTTGCATGCTCTCACTTGGCCTGTCTTATCAGTCGGTCCCTGCAGAGAGTCAGACAGCTGACCAGTGAGGGAGAAAATGACCTGCCCGAGCATCTCCCCGTCTGTCTCCTTATCCTTCAAAATCTTTTTCTCCTTTTGCTTTTTCCTCAGCTTCCCTTCTAAGACTTCCTCCATTGATGTTGTTTTCTTTTGTATCCTCTCTCTCTCTCTGTCTCCTCTCTCTCTCTCTTTCTCGCTCTTTCTCTCTCTGGATTGAACTAGTTCCCCTCCTTACAAAAAGCTGGTTGGTTTAAAGTTGATCTTTAAGTTTCAGGTTAGCTCTGTGCTGAAAAACAGACTCACTACATGATGCTAAAATCACTTTTTTAATGTTGTTGTAGCTTCACTACCTAGTGTTGTAGAAAAGACTACAACAAGACATACCCGAGACCAGAGTGCTCCGAGACAAGACCAAGAGGGAGACATTTAGGGATCGAGACCATCGAGTCAGGACCAAGAGGGAGACATTTAGGGATCAAGACAGTCAGGATCAAGGCTATAAATATGAATGAAAAATCATCATCTTGTGTGGAGGGGGGCGTGTCACTCACTTAGACAGTAACCGGGGGATGGGAGGTGTATCAAACTACAAATTGAAGTTATTCGTTGTTTTAGAAAAGGGTGTTCTCTTTTTCAGTCATAGTAATGATATGGAAAAATAGCCTTTCAGTGGCGGTCTTGACCATTCTTGATTTAAAATCAGGAGTCCGGGGGCGATGATAATCTAGCGGTTATGTTGTGCAGAAGTTGAAGTCTTTATAACAGCAGCCGTGGGTTCGAATCTGACCTCAGCCCTTTGCTGCATGCCATCCCCAGTCTCCCCCCAACATTTCCTGTGCGGAGTCCGCAGAGTCTTAGACCAATACAAGACAGAGTATAATACTTCAGATTCAGAGACCTTCAAAAAGACATCTCGATACCAGGACTGATCTCGAGTACTACAACGTGACCACTACCACACCACTTACAAAAGGCAAACACAGTCTACTTTTACTCAATAACCACAACGTTTTGTAATCACTTCCTGCTTTTGAAGTCGCTTCACTTGTTCACTCCAGCACCTACAAAGTAAATGCCATGTTGATGTGTATCCACTGAGGCCTTTTGTGGCAGCCTAAACAAAAACAATCAATCACAGTCAAGTGCAACATGACTTCCTGTCTTTCTATTTACGGTAAGTTCATTTCTCCAAGGACGACCGTCTACAAAACGGCTTACTAAGTAAATGTGTTGTCTCAATGACGTCATGTTTACAAGCCTTAGTGTGTTGGTCAGTTAGTCTGTGTGAATATGAAGCAGATGAGAACTGAAAGACATCAGCGCCATTATTTATATATATATATATATATATATATAATTTTTTATTTTGCAGCTTTTCAAGATTCCTTTGGAGAAAGAGGAGCAGGTGGGCGGACCCATTCTGGCCCAAGAGGAAATGAAGACAATATTTGGAAGCATCCCAGACATCTACGAGGTTCACAAAAAAATAAAGGTAACAAGTCTAAGATCATTTCTATATAAAAAAAAAAACAAGTGACCGTATTATTGTGTTGGTGACCTGTTGGTATTTTGTGTCTTTGTTCATCAGAGTGATCTTGAGGAACTCCTGACAGACTGGTCAGAGGACAGGAGCGTCGGCGACATCATTCTCAAATATGTGAGTGCAAGTTAGGCCCTAACTTCAGCTTCCCTCTGTAAAGTCCGTTAGGTGTGTTTTAGATAGCTCCAGGTGCTTATATTTTACTAAGGAAGTTAAGGAAATATCACCAAGAAGACATGAAACGATGTAAAGGACTTGTTTCCTGACTAGTGTGTCCTCCGCCATTGTTGTTGACAAAGCTGATACCAGAAGCCCCGCCCCTACTTGATTTTCAATTGTCGGTGAGAGAGAAGTGACACAAGCATGGCACAAGATAAACTTCTTTCAAACCAAGAGCGCTGTGAGTGCAGTGACATAAGAAAGCTGTTACTGAGGGCGTTTTAATGCTCAGGACGGCAAGCGCTGAAAACGCTGAACTACATCGGTTCTGTATTGAAAGTGAGCGCTGCCAGTGCAAAATCTGCTTCTGTGGACACTGGTCCTTAATGTCTACTTTTCTGCATATGTTGAATTTGTCCTTCATAATTTTCCATCTAAGTGAGAAAAATAAAACGTGTTAAACTTAAACTCTTTTAACAAGAAAAAATAATTAAAGAGGTTGATTTTGTACAATTTTATGACATATAAAAGGTAGAAAAGGAGAAAGAGCTTTGACTAAACACTTCATATATTTCTCTATTTGAGCTTCCCAAACATCCACATGTGGACATTTACTGCGACACCTTTGAATGACTAAAATGCTTTGAGGGTTGATTCAGGTTTAATGTGCTGCGCTGGATTGTTGAATAACATCCTCATAAGTATTTAAAGTTCTTTGTTTTGATTCATTCTCAGTTTGTACATGGCTGACTTTAATGCTGAAATAAAAAAGGTCTTTAGAGCAGTGAAGGCAGGAATTTGGTCTATACTGAGAGGGCCGTGTGTGTGTGTGTGTGTGTGTGTGTGTGTGTTGAGTGAATATTCATTGTTGTGTTTGTGTTTCTAACTCGTCCTCGTTTTTCTCTCCCTTCAGTCGAGAGAGCTGGTCAGGGCCTACCCTCCCTTTGTCAACTTTTTTGAAATGAGCAAGGAGACCATTGTTCGCTGTGAGAAACAAAAGCCACGCTTCCACGCTTTTCTCAAGGTAAGACCTTTGTATTTCAACTCTGTGCTCTTCTCGTTTCTGTCTCTGCTCTGTCTCTGTCTCGAGTGGGTGATGATGCTTGGAAATGCATTTTTGCACAAGTAAATTTTCAGGACCAGGACAGCCGTATGATGTATGATTTAAAACACAGTGTTTGTTTTATGAGCCTACAGAGGATGCACAGAATGTCTTTGAAATACTTAAGACAAGTTTTCCTAATTCCTTTACTTCCTTTAACCTCTAAAGTGACACATAGAAATAACTTTTTAGACTTTGCAGGCAGAATTTTCAGTTTGCAGATTTTCTGAGGTCTGAGTGTTGATGTGAAAGTAGCTTCGTTCATGTGGTTGTATCTTTGTTTGTGCATCTGTGTTAATAAAAATGTTATCCGTTCATTAACAAGTGACTCAAATAATAAAAGGAGACGAGCACATTGAAATGCATAATCCTTCACTTCTTCAATCTCTCTTTTACAGACGAGCTTTTATCTGAAGCCGTCTTTTTATTTTATTCTTTATAAAGAGTGTTCTTTATCATTTAATGTATTCCTCGTCCTTCTGATGTCGTTCTCTTTGATCTTTTGCCTTTACATTTTGTAATCGTCTGTTATATTCCTGAGACACTAATAGTCTTTGCTTCGTCCGTCACAGCACTTTGTAAACATGTGATTTTATTACAACAGACTTCATGCAGAGAGTTTTAGAGTGAATGGTTCAAGTTTTATCATCACCGGTCGTTTTCCCTACATCAGAAGTCACACATTCACCGGATCCTAGTGTGACAGAGTGTGTTTGTTGTATGTTTACATTAACAGACCTGCTATCACACTTTAATCTCATTTTACAGATCAACCAGTCCAAGCCGGAGTGCGGCAGACAGACGCTGGTGGAGCTGCTCATCAGACCTGTTCAGAGACTGCCCAGTGTAGCTCTTCTTCTTAACGGTAGCTCCTTTGTAAAAACCAAACTCTTTGTCTTGTGCTAATTACTTCCCTCCTCGTCGTCTTTTTCTCCTTATCGTGGTCCTTCCATACCTGCCTCCTTTCCTCCCTTATCTCCCGTTGATACCTCTCTGTAATTTCTTTTGCTCTCCGTTCCCTTTCTCCTCTCCTTTCTCCACATGATTTTCATCTCTTCCATTCTTTCTACTTGTTACTCAACTTTTCCCTTTCTTCCTCCGTTACAGACATAAAGAAGCATACGTCAGATGACAACCCAGACAAGATAACACTGGAGAAAGCAATTGAGTCTCTGAGAGAAGTCATGACGTGAGTCAGTGTGACCTTACCTTTCCTTTTTGTGGTGATCACAGAGCCAGCATTGTTTGATCATTTACAACTCCACGTCTGGCTTTTCTTTTTTTTAGTTTTTCATTTAGACTTTACGCATTATTAACAATTAAACAATACAAACAAACAAAAAGAGTATAGAGAGCACACTTTAGTCTGAGAATAATCCACATATTTCATGTCAAAAGTCAAAAAACTTTCCAAAGAGTCACAAGAAGCTGGCGTCCTCCTCAACAAAGTCTGTCAAACCTTCAATTACCCGACTTAAAAAGCCTCTGCATGTTTCTAATAAGCTCCACGAGCAGAAATGTGGTCAAACTAGGATCAATATTGGAAATGCTTTTGAAAAATGGAGAGATGTTAGAACACAGAAAGGTTTACAGACTGATGCAGAGCTGGCTAAACACTGAAGCTTCAGTGTCTGCGAAATGGCAACCTGCGTGAGCATCGACTCTAGAGAGGAGGGGGAGACAACTCTCTACAATTTGGACTGCAGCACCCATTTTAAACACTAGGTACAATAGTTACATATTACGCCTTTAAAGCATATAATGTGTGAAAGTGTCATGTGATCTGTTATTACTGTCAGTCAGGTGCTGAGCTGGTTAAACTCTAAAATGCTTCATAAATCTGGACTAGGTGCTGTGTCATTTTCTTGCTCAAAGACCAAACAGATTGTGTTTTTTTTTTTTTTTGCCCTTGTTGGTTTCTATTTTGCAGCCATGAGCAGTCCGCTTTAGAGAACACTGTTGTTGCTTTATTAGTAAATGCATTATTAATATTTACTAGCAGAGACTGGAATCACATTTCAAACTAAATTGCGACTTAAATGTCAGCAAATGTTCAACCTTTTAAATGAACAACTCAGACAAGTGATGGATGATGAAAACAACACGATGAAGAATGTTGAACTCATTGCTCTGTTCTCGAACGTTAACTCTACCGTCCCTTTCCACCAGCCATATCAACGAGGACAAGAGGAAGACTGAAGGCCAGAAGCAGATCTTTGATGTCGTTTATGAAGTTGACGGCTGTCCTGTAAGTTTTGTGATTGTCCTTGGACCCTCTGCTCCTCTTATTCATATTACATCCTACATTAGAAACGACTCACTTTCGTTTGTAAATGACCGAATGGACCCAGCCTTTGTGACATTTACTTTCCCCTTGGCCTCCCAGTCTACTTTCCAATACTTTGTCAGTATTACATTTTCTCCCGTATAATGCAGGCTAATACAGTATATTACTGTCACATTCTCTCTCTCTCTCATTATCTCCATCACCGCTCTTCAGACTATCCCCTCACCTTTTATATTTATGTTCTCTGCAGGCCAACTTGCTGTCCTCCCATCGCAGCCTGGTTCACAGAGTAGAAACGATTGCCCTGGGAGACCAGCCCTGTGACCGCGGGGAACATGTGACCCTCTTCCTCTTCAATGACTGCCTAGAGGTGAGAACACATATCGAGAGGATTCTGGTTAACATATGTAGTCCCAGTAGTATCATCCTCTGGTGTTAATGTGAGCTTTGGCTGCAGATATGAAAACCGATTGTCTATCGTACTAAGATCTGGGTTTCTGTTAATCTTGTCTTCATAAACAGAATTTTTCATTTAAAGTGTTGCTAACATCTGTCTCTCAGTTCCATTTTCCTTTGCCGACCCGACCGTAGTCAGACAGCACAGGGGAGACTTATTGGTCTGCTCCAGGGCCGGAGTTGTTGCTAAATTGGGGGCTAACCTCTGTCACTGTGACTTACAGCAGCATGTAATACATGTGAGCCCAGCTCGAGTCTTGAGGAGTTGGGCTGTTTATCGTCGCACGCGCAGCTTAAACTGTATGTTCGTCCTGCTACTGATTGCTCTTCTCAGTGCTCGCCTGCCCAAGTCATGACAAAAATGTAACTCATTTGCACACACTGTCAGACTCCTGGTCTCCTCACTCACTCTACCAACAACACTTAGGCTCTAAGCTATTCACAAACAGGACTAGACTACTTGTTTAACAAAAGGATTGCCTCGGACATTTGTGAGGTGGACCTTTCTTATCATGGGAGCAGATCGGCAATGTGCGAGCGTTTGATTTCTCTTTTTTCAAAACCATCTTTGACGTACACCTTAACGGTGCACATTTAAAGCCACACAGAGATTTTTCATTTTCATTTTCAGTGCCTCACCCATAAACCTTTCACCTACATTATTTCATCTTTTTCTCTCCTTCCAGTGTCTTTTTCTTCCTCTGCTCAAACTATGAAAGAGAACAGCAAACACCTACCATAGCTAAAGAAAGAGTAATTAAGTAGTTGAGCAATTCCTTGTACAATAATTCATTTAAGTTGACCTATTCTGCTGATCCCCATTTTTAAACTCACATAAACCCTTTTCACACATACGGAAATCTCCCGTAGAACTCAGGAGATTTATTACCCGGAGGGACTTTAGGCTATATGTGAACGCAAACAGCCGCATTTTTCACGTAGACTTTACCCGGAGTTTATCCTGCTGGACTCCTTGTATTTTAACCACAGAAAGAGTGAGCTGATGTGAGAACGCAGCAGCATATACTACGGAGAATTCACCTCGAGCCAGTGGGACCCCAGTGAGGTTTATATACAGTGTGTAGTCTGCCTGCATGCGACCACTACGATCTCCGTGAACGTAATTAAACGGCTGCGTTACGTTTTCTGTTCGTCTGTATGTTGTTCTCCACTCTTTTGTGGATGTTGTCATTCCATTGGATTACACATAGCATTGATATAAAAGCAAATATTCTCATTATAATGTTGTGTAGCGGACTCTGTTGCTACGGCCGCTACTTACGCGTTGTTTATTTACGCCACGTCTTACCTCAGGGAATCCCCCGAGCCCCCTCCCCTCTGACAGGGATAGTCCCCCGCTGTGAGGAGCATATGTGAATGGCTAGTTCGGGAGAATCTCCGGAGCGGTCTTCCTGTAATTATCTAGATATTATCAGGAGTGCATATGGAGTAATCCCAGGATAATTCTGCAGAGGGCGCTAAATGGCCTGTCACAAATCACACGATAGTTCCTTAATACGAAACTGAGGCTTTCACGAGACGCTTCAAATCTCTACGTAGGCCGGTGGAGCCCTTTACATAAGCTGTTCTACTAGCACAGTAGAGCAGCTTCTCTCTGGCAGCCCTTCAGTGTTCTGCCCCCGGAAGACTTCCAGAGAGCTGGCTTATCAGAAGACATTGGGCACATGGGGAAGGGGGAAGGGGGAAGGGGGATCTTAAAGAGACGGCAGCTGAAAAGAATCGCTTCAGGCAGAAGCTGAAATTAAGGCTTTTATAGACGCCCGTATTCGATAAATAAAGTTTTACTCTACAGGTTTAACTCACTGGTAATATAAAGGGTGAGAATGAGGATCATATGGGACCTCTTATTGCAGCCGGAGTTCTTAAAAAAGCATCCAAATGTGCACCTCACCTTAATGTTGTTACACTTGATGTTAAATGTTTATGACAGTGTGTGTCAACAGAAATCAGCCTGTTTGATTTATCATTACTTTTCTAGAGACATACAGTGAGAGGGAAACCTGTAAAGACCTACCATGTTGACTGAGTCAGGCAACACTTGTGTTAATAGTCAGAGTCATGTTTTTTTTTTTTTTTACACCCTAACAATATACGTGGAAGGGCAACACTTGAAAGCTCTTTCTCTTTCCAACAATTTAATCTACGATATCATTGAACAAGTCTTTCTTTCCTGTTCCACTTTTGTTACGGGGAGACTCAGCATGGATCTCAGCATGTCTGGAAGCACACGCTGTGATCCATGTGCACATTCAGTGGTTAAGGAGGTAAAGGGGTCTTTTGCAGAATAGCAAGTTTGAATAGGTGATCAATTCATGTGAGCACAGTCTATCACTGCTGACACAGGCTGCGTGTGTTAATTAGCAAAGGGCCAGCCTAAGAACAGGGCAGGCAATCATGACAGAGAGTAGGTGGGTGGCTGCGCTGAATCAGGAGTGTCAGCGACACCTCCTAATTAGCCTGTGTGAGTGTGTTGTGTTGTGTGTGTGTGGGGGTTGAACAAGCTTTCTGACAATTTTCCATGTAGGCCTAAATGTATTTTATTGAGTGAATATTATGTAAGAGTGCCTCCCTCTAACTCCCCTCCATCATCACTTATCATTGATTAACTTTTTGCATTCACATAATCACTCTCACCCTCCTCACTTAAACTGTCAAAATAACAATGACCTACGATGTAGTGTCCTGTTTTATCCTCTCCCCCATCTCTCTGTCCTCCCTCCCTCTCCCCCCCCCTCCTCTCTGTTTTCGTCCTTCTCAGCATCTAATTAATGTGGCATTAATGAGTTGCATCGTTTACCTCTATGAAGGCCGTATTGATTTATTGCCAAGTAACCGATAGCTTCACCCACATGCTGCAAAATGCACCCGCACTCAATTTAGGAACCGCAGGGATACGCACACAAGCACACAGCGGATGTTGCCTTTCTTCACATTTACCTCCAAAGTTGCTGTCTCATTTTGTGCATATGTTAGTGTGTATGTGTGTTTGCGTCTGCAGATTGCGAGGAAGCGACACAAGGTGATCAATACATTCAAGAGTCCACTGGGACAGACAAGACCGCCGCCCCCGCTCAAGCACATTGCACTGATGCCACTGTCCCAGATACGAAGAGTGCTGGACCTGCAGGACACAGAAGGTAAGAAAGATAGATTTGTAATACAGTGCACTGTTTTGTTAAGACCACAATCTCAGATGTTCAAGCATATCCACCACACATCTCATTCCCTGTGTTACATTAGTGTTATTTCTGAATGTATGGATAATTAGACCAGCTCAGTGACATACCTTTACTCGTCAACAGTGACACTCAGCACCTACCCACAGGGCTCAACAGTCTTTAGGTATCTGTGTTTTCAGCCTGCGGTCTTCTTTGTAGATAAGATTAGTGCAAATGTCACAATATTTAACTGAAGCTGCAACCTCCGGTGTTGAAAAATGAAGCCAATGCAGGAGGGGAACTGCAGTTCCTTGAGTGTCCACCAGCATGAACCAAAACAAACTGCTGTTTGACAACATCTCCGCTATTCTGAGTCCTCCTCTCTCCTCCAGCGACACACCTCCAACCCCTCTCCCCTCACGTTCACTTAAAGGAGTTATAAAATTGGAACGCACCATAATTAAGCACTAAGTGCAAGCGGCGGACAAAATTGTCCTCGTATCGAGCTACATTGTTGTGTTAGCATGCTAATGTTAGCGCTCTTAAGATAGCTTGTGGCTTCCAATTGCATGTAAATTTACACAGAATGACCATGATCTGAAAATGTTGACGTGACAATCAAATAAGCAGTGAGTACGTTCTTTTTTTCCAAGTCTCTCACTTAAACAGCGTTTATACACAAGTGGATGAGCCGGCCGTCCAACTTGATGTAAACACGGCTCTGACAACAACACAGCCAGCCGGACTCGAGCTTCTCGCTCATTGTAGACAGTCATGACTCAGAAAGACTTTTACAGAGGATATACTTGATTTCTGCTTTATTTATATGTAAAATGTTGCACATCATGTAGATTGACTGAATGTTAGGGTGAGACAGAATTTCCAGCATGGAGACCACCATCGACAGGACGACATTATAATGAGAATATAATGAGAAGTTGGTGGGAATGAAGGCAGAGGGCAGCTAACAAATGTGATGCAGGAACAACACCAGACTCACTGCTGCACATCTGTTTTCTATCCCTACTAATGAGCAAGGTTAAAAAAATATTGTACAATTTTTTTAGAATTGGCTTCTCCCTCATTTACTCAAAAAAAAAAGAGCAGTTTTTCTTGTCCAAGATTCTCCATATTTAGAATACATTATTACACGTTGGGATTAGTTTAGGGGTCTGAAAGTGTTTCTACCTAATGTTAGTGTTCCCTTTATTTACTCTTCTCTTGTAGTTTGGTGTGTGAACACATTGTTCAGAGAGTTGTTTCCACACACAGAAAACAGGAGTGGTTGATGTTTGAGAAATTTGGACGAGGCTCAGAAGTTGATTTTTGTCTTTCATGTTTTCCTTTTCTTCTAACACTTCTGTCTGCTTTTATCTTTCCATCTGTTTCTCCTCCCTTTCTCCCTCTCCAACACCTCGCCTTGATTTTACCTCTTCATCTTCATCTCCATCTCTTTACTGGCTGATTTCCCTTCTCACTTTATTTTGTTATTCTTTCAAATGCCCATCCACCCCCGCCCCCCTCTCTTTGTTTTGTTTTCTACCTTCAGAGTGTGTGAATGCCTTCGCCTTGGTGGTTCGCCCTCCGACTGAACAGGAGAACTTGTTGTTCAGTTTTAAACTGGCTGGAGAGGAAACCGTTAAAAGCACCTGGCTGCGAACACTTTGCCGCCATGTTGCCAACACCATCTGCAGGGCTGACGCGGTGAGTAGTCACACACTCAAATAGAAGTACATTAGAAAATGAAGATTGTTGGATTCATTTGCCAAAGAAAAGTTATTAAAAGCTCTGTCATCATGGTGTTCATTTGTATCTTTAAATGACTGCTTGTCCTCTGCAGACCGATGCAGAGCTGGCTTAACACTGAAGCTTCAGTGTCCACCACATGGCAACCAGCATACACACCAACTGTAGAGAGGAAGTTGCGGGGGCGGACAGTTCTCTCCAGTGTTTTGAATTTAGACTGCAGTATCAATTTTAAACACTAAGTGGCAGAGTTAAATATTGCTCCTTTAATTATGTTATATTATAAAGTTAAAGTTCAATCATGACCTTTAGGACAAACAACAAATAGATCAATAGTCTGGAGGTTTTGGGGACATTTTTTATAATTAAAATTTTCCTCATGGCTCATTGTTAAAGCATTTCTATTGGTAGACTGTTGTAAAACAAAATACTGTTATATCTGGAATAGAAGTTGCACAGGTATATAGGTTGCAGTCTGTTTGTGGGGGGGGGGTCTCCCAAAGAGAAATGTTTTTTAAACTGTCTTCCTGTGTGATGATTTCCACTGCACGTCTACAACGTGAAGTTTCTGTGTCACTCTTTTAGTACCACCGACGAGCTACAGTACGGTATCTCAGCCTACAGGGAAAGTTGTGATGTACAGACTTTGTCCCTTGAGTCGTGTTGCCCACCCCTGCTGATCGCTCTTTGACTTAAACTGAGGAGTCTTTCTTCTTTTTCAAGATTTATTTTTGACTTTTGTGCCTTTAATCGAGAGAGGACAGTGGATAGAGTTGGAAATCAGCGAGAGAGAGATTAGGGAATGACATGCGGGAAAGGAGCCACAGGTCAGATTCGAACCTGGGTTGCCCGCTTTGAGGACCATAGCCTCCAGTGCGCGCACTAACCACTGCGCCACCAGCGCCCCTAAAACTGAGGAGGTTTTCAATCAAAGCAGCAATCGACAATCTTTATTTACTGAACCATATACCACTGTTTGCTTTAAATGAACCATTATGAGAACATGACGGAGAAAAGATGGTCAAAAGTGTCGCTGCCAGCCTCGTCAGCATCTCTGTTTCCCAGCACAGCTCGCAATTCACAATAAATAAGAGTATGTTGAATTAATTGTAAATTCACTGTCTAAACATGTTAATTAATTCAAACAGCATTGTATTTATTTGTTTTTAGCAGGACATAAGATACAAGAAAATTGAAAGAAGAATGTTTTGCTTTCAGTTACTTCCTATCGTTTCTCTTATTTAGTATTTCAAACAGCTGGTCAGTGCATTTGGATTTAATTGAAATAATCTACAGTATACGTCCTGATGGTGATGAAGAAAAGTTATCCTGTTTCGTCATTAGCGAGTTTTTAATCGTTTTTCAGAGAAATAAGGGCTGCAGTCATAACACAGCAATCATTATAAATACCAATTCCTAGTTGGTTTCTGTGTCATTACTGGATTTTTTTTTTAATTAAAGAAAAAACTCAATTATTGCCACACACAGTCTTTATGGTTTTGGGGGAAATATTGTAGCTTGTCACTGCACCTAACAGAGCAGGCAGCAGGGGGCGATGTTGGCCTCTGGTCTGCCTGCCACCTCACAGCTGCATTCCTAATGCTGTTTCCACTGGGTCAGTGCTGCGATATGAATACCAACGAGATAGAGCTGTGCTTGTTAACAAGCCCACTGCAGGGTGCGGGGGAGAAGAAATAAAGACTGTGTGTTTGTGTGAATCCTTCCACACGTCCCCTCTTCCACCATATTTTTTCAGTAAAGCACAATGTTTCAATTGGTATCGATTACATGTATGCACATTTCACGTAAAGCTTTCATACCTTAATGTATGACTGTATTGTTTTTCCTCTTGTAACCAGGAGGACATGATTCAGTGCACGGACCCAGACTCACTACAGGTCAGCACAAAGGATATGGACAGCACCCTGAGCAAAGCCTCCAGGGCCATCAAGAAAACTTCCAAAAAGGTAAAAAGGCAAATGAATCTTCACAACTCCACCGTTTCCCTCGAAGGGTCATCATAGCACATACATGTTGAGTAGCCAAGCACCGCTGAGACTGGAGCTGCTGCATCCATTCTTTGATGATTCCAGTCTTCAGTCCAGAAGCACTCTGAGTTGTCTTACATGCTTTTCTGCATTATTGCTGCCTGCATGATGTAAAGTGAATCATTTAGAATAACAAAGGGAATAGCCATTTACTTAAACGAACCATGTCACAAAATATCTACAGAAATAATAAGCATCATAGAAATAGATATGGACGATGGTATACAGGACAACAAGACGCGGATGAGGGCAACTCTTTTCTGTTAGAAGAAGGCTCATAATAAGAAAAATAACTTTAATATTTATACCCTCTTTCTAAGGATCAAAGGATGCCTTGCAGAAAGGCAGAACAATAGATGCATTGTTGATGAAGCTAGCTCTGATTAAAATCCTCCTTTATCTGCTGTCCAGTGTGTTGGACTGTTCACTGACAGACTGAGCTGTGAACAGCCCGACACGAGAGACTCTTCCTTTTTAACTAACGGCTTTCACACTTGCAGAAATCTCCTGAAAAACTTTGTTTGACAAAAATGCGAAACATTTTTCGCTCGGACCTCATCCAGAGTTTCTCTGGCCAGACCCCTAGTATTTTTTTCTGCAGCAAGTCTGAGTGGGCTGATGTGAGAATGCAGCAGGATATAATCAGGAGAATTCACCTCGAGCCAATAGGCGGGGGAGTGACGTTTCTATCCTGTGACTGCTGCACGGTGCGTAGAGTGTATTCATGCGACCACTACGATCTCCGCGCACGTAATTAAACGGCTGCATTATGTTTTCTGTTCGTCAGTATGTTGTTCTCCTCTCTTTTGTTGATGTTGTCATTCTGTTGGATTACACATAGCATTGATATAAAGGCAAATATTCTCATTATAATGTCGTGTAGCGGACTCTGTTGCTTCCTCCGTTACTTCCGCGTTGTTTTTTTACATTACAGCCAGGTCAGGAGAATCTCTGGAGCAGTCCTCCTAAGTTATCTAGCTATTCCAGTCATTCCACCAATCTCTCCTTCCAATGGTGTTACAAAGTGTATTATTGCTGATAATGACGTTTAATGGTTACTTTATTGTCGACAGGTGTTAATGTTATGATAGACCGGTTTGCATGTATTCATGTGACTTCCACTTGAATATCAAAGAGGATGAAAGGTATAATAAATGCAAATACCATTTATACTGTTTGGCCTCTTCTAAAAGCCCTTGACTTCTCAGATGCTGATCCTTCTCACGAGCTTTCACAGAGGCTAATAGCTTTAGGGAAGCTAAGATAGCAGGGGTGACCATATCTCAACTCTCACCTTTTTAAGGCTAGCATTCAATTCTGCCACTTCATCATTCAAATGCTCTTCATTTTTTCTGCCTCTCTCATCTTGTTTTATCCTTTTTTTTCCACTCCTGCAGTCTGCACTGAGCTGCATGTCTTGGTGTGGTGGTGATTGCACTCCTGATTTAAATGAAAACTTCAAAAACTGTTCATTATTTGGACTGCAAAGCTAACGCTAATGTACTTATTACGGTCCACAGAGTTTAACCTCGGCAATCAAACTGAAATAATTTGAGTGCTGACTTGATAAAGTGGCTGGAAATTGCAAATTCAGTTTGAAAACAAATGAACAGTTTAAAAAGTAGAACCAGCTATTTTAACGGCTCTCTGAGGAAAGTGTATGTTTATGCCTTTTTCTTTAATCCATTGTGACAATGGATTAAAAAAAAGCAAAAACGGTACGGTGTCTGATAGCAATCCACGACCAATAAACTAGTGGTGTTTCAGCTTGTGACGTTCATCATGGTCATGAAAATGTATCTTCATACTACATGTGTAGCTGGAGCTTTTCAACCTCTCCAAGTCTGTCCCTCCTCATGCACTTTGGTAGTCTGTGAAGTTGTGCCAGAAAACTCTACTCTGCCTCTCCAGAGAGAGAAAGACATCAGGGTCAGTCAGCTGTGGCTCAGATGGTTGAGAAGGTTGAGAGAAAACCGATTGTGGATGGCTCCTGCAGCCACATATCCAATATGTCCTTGGGCAAGACACTTACCGATAACCCTGATTTGCTCCTGCTGCTTCGTCTGCGGCGTATTAATGTGTATGAATGGGATTAGTTACTTCTGATGGTCACTTTACATAGCAACCTCTACCATCAGTGTGTGAAGACTAGAAAAGCGCTATCATGCTGAAGTCCATTTACCATCAGCTTTTATGTCTGTCTGCTTCGATGAATTGATTGTGGTGCGACTTCTAATGTTAAATATGAACATCAAATTAATTCAATTTAATCGGCACCCACAACCTCATTTTCAGAGTGTTTCTTACTAACTCTCATTGTTGCTAGGTTACGAAACGTAACTTCTGCTTCCCATGGTAATGACCGGTCCTTTTTAACATCTCTGTATGCGTATTGTTGTCCTTTATTTAACAGACAATTGTGAAAACAATGTTAAGGAGTCATGTTCTGGCTGTAGAAATTTCCGGCTCCAGACCTGGAAGTTGTTACCTTGAAAAGACGAGTCAGATTAGTTTCTCCTCCGCCATTGTTGGTGACAAAGCTGATATCATAAGTCCCGCCCCTTCTTGATTTCGATCAGTCTGTGAGGAAGAAGTGACATAGACGAGCGTGCTGCTATTCCAAATGTTCAACTGAGAGTGAAATGACAAAAAGAACAAAACGCTGATGCTACTAGTGTTTTTGCGCTCAGGATGCTGAGCACTGAAAACACTGAAGTGCATTGGTTTGGATTTATCAAACTGTTTTAGGGAACATGTCATTATTTTGCACTCTCTTAGTTTTGCTCGTGATATCACAATCGCCAGTGAAACTTTTAAAATATGTATTTGTGTTGTTCGGGGGACTTTATAAAATGTAATTCTGATAATCATATGGTATCACAGGTGTCTTTGGATGTGTTTGGGTTGTCATGAATGGAATAAATTGGCTGTTTTAATAAAATTTCCTCCCATAATTGAACAACCTTTTACTTTTTTAACAAAGCTTCTGAAATTGTAGTTCTTGCTACGTAATGCCAGGCACAGATGGTACTCATCAGCAACTACAACAACAAAACACTGTAAGTGATATTTAACTGTGTTTGGAAGGAGTAAAGAACAACATGTTGTATAATTACTCTCAGCAGGGATCAGTATAAACCAAGAGAGTGATACTTACAGACACTCAAAAAGAAGGTGATGAATATACAGGATGTTGTGTGCAAAAATAACCCGCTTTTACATAAATATATGACTTACACTCTTTGTGTTTGTGTCAGGTAACGAGGGCCTTTTCCTTCACCAAGACCCCGAAGCGTGTGATCCAGAGGGCATTCATGGCCAACAGTACACCAGACGAGAAAAGTCAGAGGCTGAGTTGTGAAAACCGCATTGGCAGCAGTTCCACTCTGGCTGTAAGTACATACATTATCTGCTAAAGCTAATCTTCCGTATGTTGCTGTGAAGACAACATGAGCTGCACTGATTGATCACCTTGTTTGTCTTGAACTAATTGAACCTCCCACTATGACACAAATGTAGGTGTTTTATAAAAGTGTCTGAATAACCCCCGTAGCTGTTCACACAGTCGTCTACTTTCTTTCAGATTATGATCATGACTCGCTGGCTGTTTCCTGTCTCTGTCTTCATCTTTCTGTCCATCTGTTTTTCACTTCCTTTTGATGCTTTCCATCTCATTCTCCTGGCAGGCAACTGATCTCGTTTATCAAAATATGATGGGACAGCTTTCAGTCGATGTCAGTCTTTTTGATGTACCTTAATTAAAATAAAAACACAGGGGGAGGGGCCTGTGCTCTTTAATGTACTGGGTAGTTATTTTTTACTTATTTGGCTCGACTTTTGCGGAGTATTCAAGTCTTTTAATCATTTAAAAAACAGACTTTCTGCCCAGTATACATGATTTAGTTATATAATAATGACTTACCTTGTGTCCAGTGATGCAATAAATATGTAAAATGTAATGTAACATTGGATGACCTCAAGGAGCTGAGGGGTTAAGACTCATAACTAAGAACCAAAATTTAGAGGGCTGGGTATCACCACTGATTGACTGATTTGATTCACCATTGATTAATTTAGGGATATTTATAGTTACAATACCAATTCTGCTTCAAGATAATGACAGATTTTCAGAGAACTCATGGTCAAAGTGTTTAAGGATCTACAGATCCATCTGTGGATTTTATGAATCGATATCAGATCATTCAAATGAAAATGGATTAAAATCACTTTTTGAAACCCAGTCCTAAAAATATCCCAGATTTGATCCTGGCCATAATCTTGTTTCAAGTTCCAAGAACTTTTGAAACCCTCTACCTTTTTTGTTTATTCCTCACCGAAGGAACTATGCACTATTTTAGTTCCGAGAACCCCGTTTAGAGGAACCTTTTAAGCTCCTGCTTCAGAGTAGGTACTCTCCCGTCAATGTGGCGGGACCAATGTGGACATTAAAAAAGTCCCCATGGTGTTTAGCTCTCACTAGGGATGTAAAGATTAATCGTGAGGCAGTTCAAAATCACACACAAAATAATAAAAAGTCTGTAAGACAGTAGTCTGCTTAGTTGATTTCTGACTTTTCTGGGCATGTTTCTCTCTCTGCCGTTACTCAGGGGATGCGCAGTGAGCATGCTGCATTCAGGGGCGCTCAGAAACGGGAGTGAACAAAAACTAAACTGGACAGAACGTTACAAGTTCAAATGATTGTTCAGTTGTTATATTGGCTGCTGTCATTAAAAGAAACACATAAACACCATGATTCCTTTAGGTGTCTGTGGCGGTGTCAGTGAGCACTACAGTAATATCGTGAGCATCAGCAGTTGTAGATCAGAGTCGGTTAGTTGTAACAAACAGGCGTAATCATGGCAGCTGTGGAGGCCAAACTAACAAGCGGGTTTGAAGCCCCGCTCGCCCAAATGAGTGCAAGAGCCAAAGAGATTATGAGATGCATTGGTGTTTTTTATGTAAAAATTAAAGGAATCTTTTTTTTCAGTCATCTCAAAATGTCTTTGATTTTGTCAAATAAATCATGAGAGAATCTAATCGTGAACCCAATACCGTATTGTGAGTTGAGTGAATCGTTACATCCCTAGTTCTCAGGGAACTCCCTAATGGATAGTTCCTCTCCAAAAGTCCCCAGAATGTTTGGTCCCAAACCACCTATGAAATGAATAAATACAGTTGATTAAACTTAAACCAGGCGCCTTGCAAACACCACCTCTCTTTCTTTTATGCTTATCAACATGAGGTCTGATGTTTCTGCCCTTTGTTTGAACCTCTGAGAATATCCTCTGCTTTTGAATTGTATTTCAGTATGTCTACTCTCCCTGTATTTTCTTGTTCTGTTTTCTCTTTTTTAATTTTATTTCCATGATATACAAATTCCTGCTCCAAATGTGTATCCTCTGTGTTATGTGCTCTAGATGTCTCGCTCTACCTCAACATTCAGTTTGAGTGATTCTGCCAAGGGTAGTGCCATGGTGCAGCGCTCAAACTCTCTGGACCATCCTCCAATCAGAGCTAGGGTCTCTGTCTGCATGCGTAACCCCTCCAGCCAACACCAAACTCCCCCTCGTATCCCCAACGCTCGCCCAGAGTACAGCCAAGGCCTGCACCCAAACTATTACAACCAAGAACGCAAGTCCATCCTTCATGCTCCATTATCAGCCCAATCAACTCAACCCCAATCAGCCCCGTACAATTCCCAACAGCCGACATCTTCACCCCATCGCAGCTCCACTTCCATTCCAGCTGTCCCAAACTTGGTTCAGGCCAACACCAACACCTCTCAGCCAAAACCTAGCCAGCATGTGCCCAGGCACCTACCCTCTGTAGGGATCCAGAGAAGGTTCCCAGCTCCTCAGCAGGTCAATGTCAAAGGCAAAATCTTTTCTGAGGCGTCCAGGGATCCTCTAGTCGCCTTGGATCCACGCAAGGCTATCCTGACCAGTCCTCGTAGGGAGACTCTGCTCTAAACCAGCGCTAAGTCTCGCAGTCTGACGTGAGCCAACATTATTGTCTTCTCATTTCAACTCTGGGTGCACCAATACCATCCTGTTTTTTGTTTCTACATTAATCTTTCCTGCATATTCTCTGCTAGCCTTTTTAACATTCATAAAGCCCTGGTGCATTTCTAGCCCCAAATCAACTCCTTAGAAGCTGAGACCCTGAGATAAACATCATTTTACCAATCATCAGTAACGTAATGGTCTGCCAGACAGCTGCGCTTTGAACTCTGATGATTAGATTTATTAGATTTAGAGGTGTGGATTGAATGATCCTCCCCAGTGAGTTGGTTGAAAGTAAGGGCAGAGATTTTTAAGGGTTGATTTGGAATAGCTCGGTTCCTCTGAAACACCCGGGTTACTAACTGGTGTCGATGGTGCCTGGGAATGTTCACAAGGTGGCTGTTCTTAAATATATTTGTATAAACGTGTAAAGAAGTTTGTGATGAAGATTGACTGGTGTAGAGATAACACAACAGTGATGTCCAGGTGGAAGCCTGCTTTCCCCTAGGAGGAAACGGGTCCTCTTTATCATTACTGTCTGTCACTAAGGAATCCATGAAAATGTATCAATGTGTTTGTGAAAACTAAGTCAGACTCTGTGAATACATTCACAGTTTTCCAAAAGTCCCAAAACTTTAAAAAAACAAAAAGAGATCCAAAATATCTGATAAACTCAGCATTTTCTTTTTTAAACGACCTTCAGAACCTTCTGTTAACGCCAGTAGAGGAATATATCAAGTAAAAAATCAAAATGTCAAGGCAAACCTTGAATTTTTGATGTCATGCTCTTTGTGTATCGGCTTGTTTACACATAAAACACTCACTGAAGTTAAAATGTCAACATTTTTACAGGAGCATATCTGAGGTTTTACTTGTGGTAAAAGGATCACCGAGAATGTGGTTTATGTTTTAACCATTTGACATCCAGGTCTGCACTCCCTCCTGCCCTACACTCTGCCAATGAAAGGTGTCTGATCCAAACTTCCCCACCGGATCCTGAAGGGCCTTTCAGATAGGACTCGGTCATGCCCATTCATTGTCTGTTTGTAGCTCTGCGCTCAGCTTGGCAGGGGCTGTGGTGGAATTTCTGTAGCTATTTCAATTCTAAAGTACAGATGTCATTAGGTTTATTCACTGTTCTATAGTACAGCTTAGAGAGTGTCCTTCCAATAGAAGAGAACATCAGGTCACACCAAACAGTGTCCCACTTTCTTGAGCTCTGGTTAACAGACATACCATGACATCAGTGAGACATTTCTAGTTTGTAAATAAATTATCCCACAGTTTGGGCGTACCAGGTGTGTTTAAAACTAGCAATGTGCGCTGTTTCTTTTTTGCTTGTGTTCACCCCCTTCTGCTCTACGCCCTGCTACTCAGTGAGTGCAGTGAGCACTGCATCCTATCTGATAGGCCCTTAAGTCTCTAACTAGACTCTCCTCCTCTGTTATGAGAGGTGGTGGAACTGCCTGCCAAACTCCATTTGAAAACTCCCTTTGCAAGTTTAAGTAAAAGCTGAAAACATGAGGTACTAAAATGTTTCAGGCTTTAGACTTTGACCTGTCTTTACCTTGCCAATTCCTGACCTCCAAGTGCGAGTTTATTGATCCTCTAAGTATCTATTTACAAGGTCCCAGTATGTTTCTATACCGCTCTGCTTTGAAGTGTGTTTCACTGTCTGACTGTGACCGCTGTGCAGTAAGTCAGACTCTAGAGGTGGTTGTTGTGGGCTGAGACTCAGAGACCTGGTGGTTTTCGGCACTCACAACATCTCCTTTGTGCTAGCATTGAAATGCAAATTAATCTTATGGAAATTTCTCCCCCGGCTTTTATTTGGATTCACACGCATTAAGAATTGTTAATTGAAGAAGTAAATTCCTCAGTGTGCGCTATACTTCCAGGCAAAGATTTTTCCTCTGTTTATGGTAGAGTGACTCTCTGACAGTGCATACATGTACCAGGAAGCATAGCGTAAATCGCTATGGCCTGGTTTTGCTGCATTTCTTTGTCCCTTTACTTCACTTTTTAATTTGTCCATTACTCTCCCTCGTATTCTGGGATGCCACCATTTTAGTAGTTTTGAAGAAAGTTTGCATCACAGAAAAAAATGATGATTACATAGGTGGCCAGATATAAAATCTCCTTTGACCTGCTCTGTTGCCTGAACTGTGTTGCAACGAAGATGAAGCAACACTTGGCTGTCACTGATTGTGAGGCAGAGAGACTGAATCCTGTGAGAGACTACAGTACCCCGCCTTCTCTTTGCGGTATGCTGGCACTGCTTCCCTCCTGCAGTCTGTCATACACCGTCGAGACGGATGACGCTCCTTCAGGTGTGATGTACAGCTCGTGGAGCAGGTAGAAGACTGCTGTGGCAGGGTTGTGATCAGCCCATCTTAATTGGCTCCCATGAAAACAACATCTGGGTAAACTTTATTGTTGAGAGTGAGAGCACCTCTATGTGACACTGGTGATTTATCACAGAGATGAAGGACGATCTGTTGATGTGTGCGCACTGAGTGCTCAGATGGAGATATACTATCATGCACTCTGGCTTTGTAATCAAGTGTTCATTAGCATGCTAGCTTAATTACGGCAGCTGCTTGTTGAGGGTCAGGTATGTTTGCTTTTGTTGTGAGCGTCGTACCCCGGCCCCGCCTCCCTCTCCAGAGAAAATAACCTGCTAATCTGCTCGTTCATTTAGTCCTCATCATGCTCTGGATTTCTTAACAACATTTACATGTGAAGCAGGTCACCTTTCACTAGTTATTGTTCATCACTTGATTCGAGCCCAGAAAGAGGTGCGTGTGCGTGTGCGTGTGCGTGTGCGTGTGCGTCTGTGTGTCTGTGTGTGTGCGTCTGTGTGTCTGTGTGTGTGTGTGCGTGTGTGTCTGTGTCTGTGTGTCTGTGTGTGTGTGCGTGCGTGCGCGTGTGTGTCTGTGTGTCTGTCAGCCAGGTGGAGAGCTACTGATGTGTGATTGTGTTGGCAAAGGTTGTGTGTCTCCATTAGATCAGCGCCAAGGTTTGGCTTTGAAGGCAGAGCGGCTCTTTAACAGGGTGTGTCCCTGTGCACTCGGTAATTAAAACAAGGCTGGAGCACGCCGGCCGACCTCGTCCTTCTTTATACACTCACACCTGACTTCTAGGTAGAAGGCTGTTCTGAAAAATGTAGCTCACAGCACTCAACTGTTCAACTTAAACAGAGTCAAAATGCTAAGCTAACACTAATGCTTTCTTTATTCCAATTAATAACACAATGTCCTGATGCTAATTACACGGGTGTTCAATGTTATTTAAAGGGTGTCTTTATTAATTACAACTTCATTTCATGATGTTATTATTTGTTTGTTCTTATAACATTTTACTATTCAAAGTGATGGATGAATTTTGGAAACATTTAAAAAACACAAAGTCTGATGGGGAGAAACAAACATGAACAGCCCATCAATCAGACAAGTATTTACTTATTTTTGGGCGTTTTTTTGGAGAGTCAGGACACTGGATGTAGCTGGAAATTGGGGCAAGAGAGCAAGTGGGGGATGACATGCAGGAAAGGATCCACAGGTCTCCCGCCCTGAGAACAAGGGCCTCTGCACCACTCGACCGCTGGCGCCCCCTCTTATTTTTTAGAGATCTGAAATATTAGTGCAAGATTTCAGTATTTAAACTCATAAAGCCACAATATGAGAAGATCTTAATTCTGATACTTAAACTGTTATTTGTTGCACAAACCTGTGTCCTGTTCTCTTGTGTATTAATGAATTAACTATAAATCTACTGCATGCTTGGAGAAAAACTAGTCGGCTGTGCTGAACTTGTAATAACGACATGTTAACACCTTTAAATTGGATGACTGCTCATGTTTCTCACCCCATTAGACTGTGACGTGATCATGTTCCTGAATCTCAGTAATTCAAACTGATGTGAAACATGTCCAAAAACATGAACAAAAGTATCTTCTTAACTCCTCGATTGATTCTTTAACAACATGATGAGGCACTGACGCGTTATTCAGATGTTTTCTGTGGTTTTTAATCTATTCCTCTCTTTCCTTTTTACAGGCCCACCATTCCCCCTCCATGGTCAATCTGCCCTCCATGTTCGAGAGGAAGTACCACACATTCAGTCGCTCAACCACCCACCTCTTCTGAGATGCACCGACACGACTCAACCCATCTTCTCACCTTCTTTGCCTTTACTGTAACTAACAGCAGGACATGACTGGACATGTGTGTGACATTTACGATAACTTTAAAGTCTGGAGAGCGTGTCCGTACTTCGGATCTGCACAAATCCACGAGGAATGTCATGTAGCCACATTCTGAAAAATGCACTGAAGCTGTGGACAAACTTGAATCTGATACTTGACACTATCAGAATTGTCCAGCTACTATTGGTGCCTCTTGGCTGCAATTTGGGCCAAGTAGAGTTGAATTGAGAAGCCTCATTTAAGAAGTTGAGAAGTGTTATCGTCTGCAAAAAAAATCTATATTTTTTGCTGACAAGGCACAAAAAAATATAGTTTCTTATCTAATCTAGCACTCGGGGGTTGGCGGATGTTTAAACATGCACAAATAAGAGGATTTACCTGGAGCGGTACTGCATCATGCTAGTGGCTACAGATTAGCGATTAGCACCACGCTAGCGGCTACAGATTAGCGATTATCATTGGTTCTGGTGAGCTTAAAGCCTTAGCCTAAAAAGAAAAAGTGAAGGATGCTCTTTTGCTCTTTTGACTACATTTGTTTATGGATTGTCTTGGGGTGTTTTTCATTGGATGTCAAAGTTATTCACCTTTCACAGTTCGCCTCTTGCTGGGCCTTCTGGTTGGTTACTTAGTCGAGTGAAGTGATAACACTAACTTTAAGTAAACGACCTCATCCGACCTCGGGTCGAAATAGGGACTTGGACCTGTTGCCTGAATGTTGCTGGATGTTCAAGTTTAATTTCACCTTGCATCAAAAGAAGCGTTTAATCGAATATGTTTTTGTTTGCGTTGCTAAGCTCTGTTTAGGATTTATAAAAGTTAAATTGGACTGATTGATTGAGCGCCCTTTGCTGTATTATGGCTTTTTTTTTGTATTAACATGCTAGGTAAACGACTTCTCATTTAAACTGACATTTAGTCTTGTGTTGTTTTAGCGGTTAGATTTAATTTCACTTGATTTAATAATATGACTTATTATAAATTAACCCACCTTCAAAGTGTAAACGTACTACAGCTTCCAGCTTTTATAAAGCTTTTAATTTAGCATTTACGAGATTCAGCGGAGAAAATGCTCAGCCACATCTGCTTACCCGTCCACGTTTTAAATGTTCGTTTTTTTTAACCGTGTTTTTCTCTGTGTGTGTCTGTCGAAGAAGGGATGCTGCGTCAGTGTACATATTTATTCTGGATGAATACATTTTAATATCTGTTTTTCTTTATCTTCTCTTTCTATTTATGTTTTTTCACTTTTCTCTGTTTTTTTTAATCGACTTTAAATCCTCTCCTTTTGTTTAATCTTTGTATTAAATGCACTTAAACATGTACCCCAAGATCTAAGCTTCTTTTTTTATATAACTGTTGTTTGTCTTATTAACACCAGGACATTATAAAGAGGGTTTTATCACGTTCATCTGTGGCATGTCGACAAAATCTGCAGTGACATTTGTGTGAAAATAAATACTTTTAGTTCCTCCTCATGAACCAATGAGATATTTTCTTCTGGGAGGATCTAAAAGGTTTGTAATTCTGTTTTTTAAAAGCTCATGTTAATTCTCTAGAACATTGCTCGTTTGCAATAAAAGGGGAAATCGATATTTAACCAGTTCAGTAAAATAAATTAAGCTTCTGATGTTTGATTTAAAAATATATATCATTTGCGTGTGGCATCTTTGAGCATGTGTTTGTGATTCTCAGGCCCGTTTGTGATTTGCATACTGCTTTGAAGCCGGCTCATGAATGCTCCTCAGTACTCGTCTGTACTTCATGCTCATTTGATGTAGGAGTCGGTTTAGAAGTTTCTGGATCCCCCTTGACAAAAAGTGCACTTCCCCAGTTTCTCTTTTTTTCTTCATAAATAGGAGCTGCTGCTTTAAATTCACTTTCCAACCAAAAGAGGAAGTCACGGCTTTGAAGAAAGTAAACCCATCAGAGAAATACTGACAACTGGGCAAGAATTATTTACACTGATGAAGAAGTTTAATGGCAGCATGCTTCTTTTCCTGTAGTCATTGCTGTAGTCTGTTCTTCTCACAGCATCCCCCACAACTCAACTTCTGCAAATGTGGACGGATATTTAGAGACTCTGATCTACGATCTACGAAGCCTGAGTGACGTCACCAGTCTTTTACTGCAGAGGGCTTTGGAAGTCAGTCAATGGCGGTCTCCATGCTGGAAATGCTGTCTCAACCTAACTTTCAATCAGCCTCACGACATGCTGAGAGCTGGAGCGGGTTTTAATCCTCATGACAAACCTTCAGTTCAGCCTCGCGCCTAACTATGCTTACCCCTGTACCGTGTGCAGATAAAGACCGTGACTATAAGACCTATTTGGTTTTTTGAACCAGGCTGTAAACATATTAATTTCTGCCTATATCCTCCTTGATATAAAACTCTTCTTTGGTAAAGACTCTCTAAAAAACTTAGACTCTGAGCATTACATTTACACACCTGAAGCCTGCTTCCAAACATTGGCAATATCTAAAATTTGTTAAGTGCAACCTCCTGAAACGTCCCTGTTCTAACTGAAACATGGCTTTTCAAGAGGAATACAAAACATATCGATGGATCCTATTCTTTAAGATTTGATAGAAGAAGAAATTATTACATTTTTGTAAGATGACCTCATAACCTCAACAAATCAAAGCCTGTAGAACAAATGAGATGCTACAGGGCACTGTCAATGTTTCATTGCTGTTCATGTTCTACTAAAATAATACATTCTCCCAATCATCACATTTTGCCCTTGACAAAATTATGATATTCTGTTTTTTAATTCAGCAACTCCTCATTCAATGTTTTAAAGGCAGAAAAGACTAATCACTGTATTCACAACATCCACCAGTGAATTGAATTTGCTGCCACTGAAAATTCAAATTATGCTCATGTAACTTTGATAAGTCCCTCATCAAGTGAAAGTTTACTGTTGAGCCAATTTCAAACGTTTGAATCAAAACTTTAGAGAAAAAAATGTTTTCTTCTTTTGCCGGCTGTAACACTTCTGTGTAAAAGTCAAACTTTAAGTCTATTGATGACTAAGGAGATGTTTTAAAGGTCCCATATTCTGCTTTTTCTGGTTTTATACGCTCTTTAGTGTGTTTTCCAAGTGTCCTGTGCATGTTTAGGCACATCTATTTGCAAAAATTCAAAGTCCGCAGAAACGCGGCTTCTCCTACGTCCTCCTGTTAGCTGTAGCATTAGCTGCATGTAACGCTCGGTTCTAGCCCCCCTCGATAAAAATTTGTCAGTCCGACGTCATTGTCAGTGTGAGATCACTGATCTAAGTCCATTGGCTCATTGTGGCAAGCCCGTTAACTTCTGTAGCACGCCCATGATATGCCGTAGTGCTAAGGTGCTAATGTTTTTGCTCCCCGGCCCTCGGAGCCAAAGTGGCTGAGCGACTGACCAATTACGGCAGAGTCGACAGGCCGACCAATCAGATCAGACTTGGCACATGTGGGGACTCTGAATGTGGGCACTTCTGAACCTGAGAGAGAGAGTCAGAAGCGAGCCGGTGCATGGAAACAGACACTTTTTTCTAACTTTAGCTATTGTGAACGTACTTTAGTAGGTACAAAAATAATAATAATAAAAAAAGAAAAGAAAAATGGAATGAAGGAAAGAAGGAGAAAAATAGGAATAAAAAAAAATAACACACACTTGAATTACACACACACACACAAGCAGGGCCCTTCAACACCCTCAACATACAAAATTGCTAAATGTTATTATTACTCCCTGCTTGCCTGTTTTGTCTTTGTCTATGCTGTGCATTGTATCGTGTCTCCCCTGTCTCCTACATACTATTGCTCTTGTCATGTCCCTCACTCGTCTTGTATTGTTCTGCATCACCGAATAAAAAAAAAAAAGAAAAATTTAGTAGGTACATAGATTAAATATACGAACCCCAAACGAGGTATAATATGGGCTTTTTAAGGTAATTCTGCTTTACCAACTGCAGTTAAAACGTATGTTATAGTACACTGAGCTACATCACAAATGACAAATCTCACAATCATTCTAACTCATTTGTCAAAAAGTTGGATGGATATCGTTCAATGTAAGATGAGAAGAAAAAGCCATCGAATGAAAACTCTGCTGTCTCAGCTTCCACAATGTCCCACATCTTATCTCTCACCACACACAACACTACTTTATATCATCCTGTGAATATGTAATGTGGACAGAACTAGTTTCAGATACTGTCCATCTTTCAGATTAAATAAAAATGTGTTCAATTGTTCTATTTCAATTGTTCTGGTAAACTTTTCTTCATGAACGAAATCTAAATCTCAACGAATAGAGCAGCCCCACACCCCACACCGCGAGCCAGCATTTGTTTTTGTATGCCTTTTTGTGTTAGAGAATGATCATCCCCTCAACGCCATTCATTCTAGTAACACAAAGCTAAGAGGATTCTCTCCTCCCTCATTGATCACTGCAGCAAGTTAAAGCTTAGACATGCCCTCTCAGTGGAGCTTGAATTACTTGAGTTACTAGACTTGAATAGTATGAATTTCAGTTATTCAAAATATAAGTCATTATTTGCACCAAAACTTTTATACAACTCATAGTTCTCACACCCTTTGATTATTGGTTTTTCTTGTGAAAAGTTAGCTTATGGTACCTAGAGTCTCCAAAAGTAATAAGGGAGGAAGAGCCTTAAATTATCAGGCTGCTCTTCATGGAATCATCTTTCAGTTTAGCTCAGGAGGCAGACTCCTGTACTTTTTAAGAGCAGACTGTAAACTTTGCTTTTTAATAAAACTTTAAATAAGGGCTTTCCCATGTTCGCCTCAGACTAGCCATACAGTATCTTATACTGCTATAGGCCTGTGGAGATAATAAACTGAACTCTTTCTAAATCATTATAAAAGAGGGCAGTCCTGCCCTTTGTGTCTAAGTGTTGAAAGAAAGAATTGATTGATTGAATTTACTCGATTGAAAATGATACGTACGGTTATTTTGAACGTCTCCCTCAAGAAAAATCATATTCTGAGCTAAACTATTTTAAGAGGGTAACGTCCAGGGGCCCCGTAAGGGGGAGAAAAGTTAGGATGATTCTAAAGGCCCATAACTGACCCTTAAAAAATATTATATTCAGATGCATTTATATTAGATTATAAACGTATCGCCATACAGAGAAGTCCTCTCTTGACAGTGTGCTCATTGTATTTCCTTTGACATTCAGACATCCTCACTGTTGCTGGTGGTGGAGCCCAATGATATATATTTTAATGGGGCCCAGAGTTCCTGGCAGCACCCCTGGTAACGTCTTTTTCAATTTTAACCAGTCCAATATTCACTTTAATGAACAATTATGCAGCCCAGGCATAAGAGACAGTAGTCAAAGCAGTGTTAGCCAGTGACCTTGTCCTGATTAAACACGGATGAAATACTTAATGTTCATAGTTGTATAATGATGGAATCTCGTGTGATTTGCTGCTTTTGGAGGGCTGACTTTATCTGGAGAAGAACTCAATGATTTTATGAAGGAGAATGCTTGAATTAATCTTGATTAAGCCAATATGACATCAACTGGTCCAGTTTACTGGTCAGTTGTATTTCTTTCTGTTCACCTACACATTTAGAAATGGATTAGACACTAACGTTAACTCAGACATCATGATGAGTTGTTCAGTCATGTGATAATAGTCGAGTCGATAAGTTGACAGTCGTGTGATGTCGACTAGTCGCTGATGAAGTTATCAATAAAACCACGGGTGCAGGGAATGCTTTGCAACCAGCAGAAATATTAATTTGCAAAATGTAATGCATATGCTGCTGAGGGCCAACAGGTAACACACAAAGCAACAGCTGCAATAAAGAATGCAGCAACATGTGCTACAACTCCTTTATAAGTGAGTGCAAAGACAAAAACTGAGGTAGAGTGTTTTTGCTGACTCACTGTCATAGTCCTGCTCAGTCACAGTTGTAGATTTTCTATCCTGATCAGCAATTTGTCGACAAATAAGAATTTGAAATGATTTAAAATTGCTGGTTTAACCCAGGACCCTTTTTAAATGATATACAATAAAGTTGTTCAATTTAAAATAAAACCATAGCCCTGAAAGGAGATTTGTGCTGAAATGAAAGTATGTGTAAAAAAAACAAAAAAAAACTTCAGATGTAAGTTTGCACATGACTGCAACGATGTAGGTGTCTGTTGCTCTTTGAAAATAAAAAAGCACACAGAGACACTGAAATTATATAATTATTTTCATGCTGTTTTGTTCTTTATGTCGTTCTAATGCCTTTGTTTGGATAGACCTATTAGAGCGTTCGGCTGTGTGCAATATTAAATGCTTTAACCCCTCCCAGGGACAGT